ATAATACACCGATACATATGACAATACACTCCTAGATAATACACCGATACATATGACAATACACTCCTAGATAATACATCGATACATATGACAATACACTTCTATATAATACACCGATACATATGACAATACACTCCTAGATAATAAACCGATACATATGACAATACACTCCTAGATAATACATCGATACATGTGACAATACACTCCTAGATAATACACCGATACACAACACGCTCCTAGATAATCCATCGATACATATGACAATACACTTCTATATAATACACTGATACACAACACGCTCCTAGATAATACATCGATACATAGGACAATACACTCCTAGATAATACACCGATACACAATACAGTCCAAGATAATACATCGATACACATAACAATACACTCCTAAATAATACATTGATACATATGACAATACACTCCTAGATAATACACCGATACACAATACACTCCAAGATAATACATCGATACACATAACAATACACTCCTAAATAATACATCGATACATATGACAATACACTCCAAGATAATACATCGATACATATGACAATACACTCTAAGATAATACATCGATACATATGACAATACACTCCTAGATCATACATCGATACATATGACAATACACTCCTAGATCATACATCGATACATATGACAATACACTCCTAGATAATACATCGATACATATGACAATACCCTCCTAGATAATACACCGATACACAACACGCTCCTAGATAATACTTCGATACATATGACAATACACCCCAAGATAATACATCGATACACATAACAATACACTCCTAAATAATACATCGATACATATTACAATACACTCCAAGATAATACATCGATACACATAACAATACACTCCTAAATAATACATCGATACATATTACAATACACTCCAAGATAATACATCGATACACAACACGCTCCTAGATAATACATCGATACATATGACAATACCCTCCAAGATAATACATCGATACACAATACACTCCTAGATAATACACCGATACACAACAATACATATGACAATACACTCCTAGATAATACACCGATAAATATGACACTTCACTTCTAGATAATACACCGATACACACAATACACTCCTAGATAATACACCGATACACAACAATACATATGACAATACACTCCTAGATAATACACCGATACACAACACGCTCCTAGATAATCCATCGATACGTATGACAATACCCTCCAAGATAATACATCGATACACAATACACTCCTAGATAATACACCGATACACAACAATACATATGACAATACACTCCTAGATAATACACCGATAAATATGACAATACACTTCTAGATAATACACCGATACACAACACGCTCCTAGATAATACACCGATACATATGACAATACACTTCTATATAATACACTGATACACAACACGCTCCTAGATAATACATCGATACATATGTCAATACACTCCAAGATAATACATCGATACATATGGCAATACACTTCTATATAATACACCGATACATATGACAATACACCCCTAAATAATACATCGATACATATGACAATACATACACCGATACATATGACAATACACTCCTAAATAATACATCTATACATATGACAATACACTCCAAGATAATACATAGATACATATGACAATACACTCCTAGATAATACATCGATACACAATACACTCCTAGATAATACACCGATACACAACACGCTCCTATATAATACATCGATACATATGACAATACACTCCAAGATAATACATCGATACACAACACGCTCCTAGATAATACATCGATACATAAATACACTCCTAGATAATACATCGATACATACGACAATACACTCCTAGATACTACATCGATACACAATACACTCCTAGATAATCCACCGATACACAACACGCTCCTATATAATCCATCGATACATATGACAATACACTCCTAATTAATACACACTCCTAGATTATACACCGAATACATATGACAATACACTCCTAGATAATCCATCGATACACAATACACTCCAAGATAATACATCGATACACAATACACTCCTAGATAATCCACCGATACATATGACAATACACTCCTAAATAATACACCGATACATATGACAATACCCTCCTAGATAATACATCGATACATATGAAAATACACTCCTAGATAATACATCGATACAGATGACAATACACTCCTAGATAATACATCCATACATATGACAATACACTCCTAGATAAGACACCGATACATATGACAATACACTCCTATATGATATATCGACACATTATCGATACACTCCTAGATAATACACCGATACATATGAAAATACACTCCTAGATAATACACCGATACATATCACAATACACTCCTAGACAAGGCACCGATACATATGACAATACACTCCTATATGATATATCGACACATTATCGATACACTCCTAGATAATACACCGATACACAATACACTCCAAGATAATACATCGATACACAATACACTCCTAGATAATCCACCGATACATATGACAATACACTCCTATATGATATATCGACACATTATCGATACACTCCTAGATAATACACCGATACACAATACACTCCAAGATAATACATCGATACACAATACACTCCTAAATAATACATCGATACACAATACACTCCTAGATAATAAACCGATACACAACACGCTCCTATATAATACATCGATACATATGACAATACGCTCCTAGATAATACATCGATACATAAATACACTCCTAGATAATACATCGATACAGATGACAATACACTCCTAGATAATACATCCATACATATGACAATACACTCCTAGATAAGACACCGATACATATGACAATACACTCCTATATGATATATCGACACATTATCGATACACTCCTAGATAATACACCGATACATAGATAATACATCGATACATATGACAATACTCTCCTAGATAATACATCGATACACAATACACTCCTAGATAATCCACCGATACATATGACAATACACTCCAAGATAATACCCCGATACACAACACGCTCCTATATAATCCATCGATACATATGACAATACACTCCTAATTAATACACACCCGATACACAACACGCTCCTATATAATACACCGATACATATGACAATACACTTCTATATAATACCCCGATACACAACACGCTCCTATATAATACTATGACAATACACTCCTAAATAATACATCGATACACAATACACTCCTAGATAATAAACCGATACATATGACTATACACTCCTAAATAATACATCGATACATATGACAATACACTCCTAGATAATACACCGATACCTATAACAATACACTTCTAGATAATACACCGATACACAACACGCTCCTAGATAATACATCGATACATATGACAATACACTTCTAGATAATACACCGATACACAATACACTCCTAGATAATACACCGATACATATAACAATACACTCCTAGATAAGGCACCGATACATATGACAATACACTCCTGTGTTATATGCTGATACATAAGACAATACACCTCTATATTATACATCGATACACACAATACACTCCTAGATGATACACCGATACATATGACTATACACTCCTAAATAATACATCGATACATGTGACAATACACTCCTAGATAAGGCACCGATACATATGACAATACACTCCTATATGATATATCGACACATTATCGATACACTCCTAGATAATACACCGATACATATGAAAACACACTCCCAGATAGTACACCGATACAAACAATACACTCCTAGATAATGCACCGATACATATGACAATACACTCCTAATTAATACACACTCCTAGATTATACACCGATACATATGACAATACACTTCTAGATAATACACCGATACACATAATACACTCCTAGATAATACACCGATACATATGACAACACACTCCTAGATAATACATCGATACACATAACAATACACTCCTAGATAATACACCGATACATATGACAATACACTCCAAGATAATACATCGATACACATAACAATACACTCCTAGATAATACATCGATACACAACACGCTCCTAGAAGAACCCCTGGCGTGGACAACAGCCTGGCAACGACGTCGCATGGAAGAGATAAGTATGTATATGTATGTATTTACATATGTCCTTCCTATTTTCCATTAACTCTATAGAAAGTCAGCCGGTTGTTCCTGGACAATAACTGCAGTCTACATTATCTGGTCACATGACCACGGTTTCCGCGACGTCAGTGTTAGCAACCTATCCCACCGTTACAGCGACGTCATCAATTTGTACACTAGCCGCTATCTTGTTGTTGTCGTTTGGTTCATACAAGTCGCATTTTGATGAGAATAGGAAGGTTAGCTTTTTCTTTTGTATTAGAATGCTCTGCACATATAATTGGAGCATGTAACTGCATTTTTAACAGTTGTCGTCTGGTTACATTTTTAATGGCGACCGCTTGAAAGTTTTCAGTCCAATAATGGCCGTCTGCGGCTGTTCCAAGAATTGGACCAGTGAGGTTTTGCGGCAGCAGGAAATATAAATTAAGCTTATCAGACTAATTAATAAAAAGACGTCATTCTATGTATCTGTAACCCAGATTGCATTCATATTCGCTGTAACTGCATTCTGACAGACGTTCAATCCTTAAATAGACCTCATTGGGATCCTCCGCCACTCTTCCTCTAAGGCCAGGGGTGATGGTAAATAGTTCTTTGTTGGCTCATTATCAAAGTTTTAAACATGCAACAGTTTATCTTTTTTAATTTCTCGGCATTTTTGTACGCACGACCAATATGAACCTTGATCTTACTGCCTTTCTTTCTACAAATGTGATAGTATCAACTAGGAAACATAGGACAAGGCAAACATGTAATAACTCACTGTTAATGACGTCACTATGCATAATTGCAAGAACGCCACGCTGAGAACAGTATCATGACGTCATAAGCGAATAGTCCTTGGAGACTGGACTCGGATGGATATTGGATGGGTGGTACGGAAAGCTGAGCAAATTTTTAACCGCTTTTGGGGCAGAAATATGGAGAAATCAGTTTGGGAGAATCTACCGGATGTGGCTATGATAGAAGTATTCAAACTACTGAGGGACCCGGACAAGGCCAACCTCGCACTCACATGTACAAACTGGGCACGCCTCTTTTACACGCCAAGCTTGTGGCGTAACAGACATTTCGACATGGGCGGGTACAAGTGTCACACGAATGGCGTACGCGCAAACAAGTTCGCGGATCAGTTGGGTGCGTACGTGGAATACCTGTCAATCACATGTAGTCATCCTTCTTACCATATTACGAAAGCGTTCCAGGAAAGTATGGAAGACCTCCTTGTCAAATTCAGGGGGAGTCAACTCAAAGAATTTGAGATGGAGCGCCTTGAACTGGACCGGTTCTGGAAGCACGATTCAGCAAGAGATAAATTCATGAACAGCTTCGTTAAATTCTTCAAAACACAGAAGCGTTTGAAGGTGTTTGATATGACTGCAGCCCAATGTGTTCTTACCGGGGGATTGAAAATTATTGAAGCGGTTGGTCAAAAGTCAGGTAAAACTCTGGAAGAAATCTACATAGAAGACTTTTTCCCTGCGCGATTTACAGTGTACAGTGTCGAAAGGTTCCAAATGGCATTGTCTTTTTTTACCAATCTCAGTTACATTGCTGTTAATTACCACTGTATATCAGAAGAAATAATTGAAATGTTTTCAAAAACATTAGCAGGAAAATTAAAATTTTTCAATATTAAGGTGTATAGGAATAATCCTCACCTTCACAGAATATCACCGTTTGCCTGGAAACAGTTGACGACCGTTTGTCCGAAGCTGCAGGTCATGTTCTGGTTCGATAGCGTGGCTAAATCTACAGAGATTATCCCAATACTGGTACCAGAGATCCCCGTACAGGACGTACACATCTGGACAGGGTACGAAGACGATGTGGACTGGAACCTCAGCCACACAATAACCCACATCGCGAACAGCTATGCCGCAACGCTAGGTAAGCTATTTATAGATACAACGCTATTTGCAGATTTACGCGACATCGCGCAAGTAACGTTTTCAAACTTCGCGGACAGCTTCTCATACGCAAGTTAGTACACGCGTCTAATTTTGTTCCGTCCCCGCAGTCAGGTAAGTATACTCCGCAACGCCAGAAAGCAACGTTCGCGTCAAAAAGTCCCCGCAGCACTAGATATAATACTCAGTAACGCGAACATAAGCGCTGAATAACCTCTTTTTCTGAGACTTGTGATTTATACAGGCCTGTTAGTCCTTTTTTTATAACTGAATACCCATTTTTTTTAAATTAATCATCCTCGATATCCAGGGGTTACGCTCTCTTTCGCTCTCTACACCCCTGGAATATGTCATAGCAAAATTGAAGGCACGAAGATAGCTGTTTGATTGGTCTCAAAATAAACCTGACCAATCGCTAGGATGCCTGTCCTTTGAAGGTTACAAAGGAGAGACGCCCGACTTCAAAGCCTGTCAACTTTTACCGTTACGTGACCGCGAGATTCTTTTGATGTATATCAAAGGATTGAACTAGAGTCCTTGTCTCATCAACAAGGTGGCACACACCGAGCCTTCAATTTTACTATGACATATTCCAAGGGTGTAGAGAGCGAAAGAGAGCGTAACCCCTAGATATCGAGGATGATTAATGAACCAATGTACAAATAGAGCTGTAACAAATTATCAGACCCCTGTGTTTTTTTCCATTTAAGTAGCATTGTCGTCTTCTTTCATAAATAAGGAGCCAGTATGTCACCATCGATGGTAAAAGCACTAAGTTGAGACATATTTGCAAAGAAATGTAAGTTAAGAGAAATTCTTTCCAGCACATGTAAATTTGATCACAACTAATTTAAATAAGCATATTTTATCACAAATCGTAACCGCTTATAATGGTTCTTTGCCATGACCTAACCCGAGTTTCCTCTGGCCCTACCACCAGACTTAGACATTTTGACATAAAGATGTTTCCCACACCAGACATCTACAATGTGTATGTCAAAATGTCTCAGTCTGGTGTTAGGGCCAGAGGAAACTCGGGCTATGCCTTGTCCAAGTCCAGTAAAACAGTTTTCAATTTTGTTCTGATTTTAAGCATTTATGCCTCTACAACGATGCTTACATTTCGATTACACAGTCTTTAAATTAAAAATAAACCTACTTAATGTAGCGGACCTAGACTGGGCAAATCGCCGGCAACCATGTAGAGCGTCCGTCTAGAGTTCGGAGGGTCCCGGGTTCGAATCCTGGTCTTGCCGTGCATTCCTCTTGTTACATTTTCACAAAACATAACAAATGGAATTATTACATGTTAAAGTTTTCCGGAGTTATTCAAAAACCGATTAGGAGTAATAGGAAGGGGAGGGGGGGCGATCATTTCGGTTTCCTGTCTGTTTTACATTTGTCGCCTAGCGAAATGGTAATTGTATAAAAAATGTCTGTTTCACCAATTGATCAAACGGTCTAAATCACAGTGACTTGTCACATATCAATGGGCTACCGTAATGCAAACTTATATGTGACGTCTTTGTGGTTTAAACAAAAAGAACCTTCCCAGAATGATAGCAGATAGAGTTTTCTTTGTTCAAAGACTATGATAATATGAAACTAATTTGATTGCAAAAATTACCTAATTTGCATTTTAACTTTAACAGTACCTACCTAGTCCAGAGAGATTTGCGCAAGTACCAAACCGCTAGATACCAGTACAAGATTCTTTTTTATCTAACGTCATGTTTTAAACAAAGCAGATACTATAATTAACGATATTTTAACCTATCACAAGGAACATTTTTGTTTGAACATCGCCACAAAAATTACGTAAAAAAGAAGATGTGTGTTTTCCATGAAGTCATTTAATTTTCACTTCGAATGATTCTTAGGGCCCTGTGCACGTGCATCACTTTCGCTCTCTGCACCCCTGAAATATATGTCATAGCAAAATCGAACGCTCGGTGTGCCACCTTTGGATGAGACGAGAAGACCAGTTTGATCATTTAATGAACATCAAATAATAATAATACGTTTAAATTGTAACGGGGAGCGTTACATCCACAAAATTGTGTACTAATTTTGAGCAAAACCGGACAAAGTGAAGGAATGTTGTCATCTCGTTTGCGTACACCCATAAACGTGCCAATCAAGTATAGGTCAGCAAAATTATCAAGTCCCCCACTTTGTTTGGGGGACTTAATAATAAAAAATGAAAAAGTATTAAGTTCGTTAATAACTCGCACAAAAATGCCATTTACACATGTCTTACTTAATTCCCGGTAATGTGTCGTTACAGGAGCAGCGTCCTTGGAGATAGATAACAACCAGGAGTTCGTGGACGAGGCGATGCTGTACCTAGTGAATAAGTGTAAGCGGCTGTTCGACCTCAGTCTCAACGCATCGGTTCTTCTGAGTACCATCGAAACTGTTCTGGAGCAAATTGACCAACGCAAATCTAGTGAGTAGTGATCAGTGGACATTGAGTATAAATTCAATCTAGAAGCTATATTTTTTTTTTGGAAGGGGAGGTAACTTTTTGAAATTATTATTCTTCTTTTGGGTACAAGGGCTCCATCAATATGCTGAAGCTTAGGCGTGAAAAAATGGGGTTATCTACAGTGATTAGATAAGATAAGTTTTTGTTTTGTGCAGGGTATAAGATAAAAAGTAAAAGCTGGCGTATGTTCTAGTGTGTGGTGAGGGCTTCAAGGGCTGCATAGGGTACATCTTTGTATGTGTGTCTTGAAGTCCTCGAGTGTTGTGCATTTTACTGTTGCTATGGGAATGAGATTCAATAGTGATATTGTGTGTGGACAGAATGAATATTTGTATGTGTCATTTGTAGAAGATGTGTGTTTGTACGCGTAGGGATGTGCATGTCTAGTTCGAGGGTCTACGGGTGTGAGTATAAATGTTGGGTTCATTGCTACGATTTGGTGTACAATTTTGAAGAAAAGGATTGTAGCCGTTAGTTGTAGTTTGTGGATCATGTAAGTTACTGAGCTGGTGTTGTGATATCTGTTGTTTACGTGGCGTGCTGCTCTTCGTTGTGTTTTTTCCTATTCGTTGAATTTGGTTTGTTTTGTGTGGGTCCCAAATGGAAGAGCAGTATTCAGGTTTTGGTCTGACTAGTGCTTTGTATGCGTGTTCTTTTATATGCGGTGAGTTTATTTTAAAGTTGCGTTTGAGAATACCCAGGGACCTATTGGCATTGCCTGTAATGTTGTTTATATGTTTGTCCCATCGTAGATTATTTCGTTATGTTAAGCCTAAGTATTTGCTGGATTCTACTTGGTGTAATGTAACTTTATCTGATTGTTTGCCCTCAAGTACTAGTAAAGGTTATTGCATGGTTTTCGAGTAACAAGGGATTTATTACACCCGAGCGAAGCGAGGGTGTAATAAGTCCCGAGCGACGAGAAATCATGCAATAACTGGCTTACTGCATGCTTCCCAACTCGAACAAAACAGAAAAGTTGAGTAAAAAATGTTCACCTGGACAATCTTTTTACCTACCCTAGCTACACTGCAGATAATCTACATGTACCTGTGTGAGTGAGTACTAATCATAACCAGGTAAGATTGTCAATAGCCCAGTCTGAGTGTATTCTTCATAATGGATACAAGTGTTTTTGGATTACTATCCAGGTCCAGTGTCAGGGAAGGTAAGGAGTGTCTGTTCAAAATACGGGAAACAATGTTGAATTTATGACTACATTTTCAGTTTAATTTTCAAGATGTGGCAAAGGTACAGGATATTGAAACCATTTTCATATATACAATGTAAGGGTTTATTAATCCCTAAGGAATTCCAGTTCTTTCAATGAATGGTATATTTGAATGTGCAATTTTGTATAAAGGAACAGCTCCTTAAGATTATAAACTTTTCCGGGAAATGCTTATCCTCTCACGTGATAAGGAAATCTTTTTGTGTTTTTCAATCATGAAATTACCATTTTTAACTTTCATTTTTCCCACCCTTATTTTAAATGTGTCAACTAAGTTGATCCTTTCCACTGTATTGACTTCATCGTTACTCACTGATTGATTATCTTCCCTTTCTTACAGCATTTGTGGCCACAGTCCACTGGGCACACCCCCTTTCATGGTCATGTAATCATGATTGGCCTTGAAAGGGGATTATGTATGCAGTGGACTGTGGTAGCAAGTGATTTATTGCCCACACTTTTCCATTGTGAGAGGTGGGAAGTATGCAGTAACAGTAGTTTGGGTGCGGAATGAGAGAAAGTCTGTAATACATGCGTGAGTGTTCCCTGTTAATCCTGTAATATTTGAGTTTGTACTGTAGTCGTTTGTGTGGGACTTTGTCAAAAGCTTTGGCAAAGTCCATTGTTTGGTGCCAAATCGGGTAGGAATGTGGTGAGCTGTGTTTCGCAGGATCTGGAGGATCTAAAGCCGTGTTGTAGGTCATATAATACGTTGTTGTTCTTCAGATGCGTCACTGTGGCGCTTTATATGGTGTGTTCCATGAGTTAACATGTGATGCAGGTTAGTAATATCTCATTAATAGCTGTCGAAGTCTGCAAGGAGAATGTGGGGCTGGGGATGGGGTTTTCTGACACACCTTTTAAAGAGAGAGTCGGGTCAACTTCTTCCTTTCTCGGGACTATTCTCTCACACTTATTTTTTCTTCTTCGTAAGAAACGGCTAGTCAAAACCACAGGTACTAGCCTATTATAGGTGTATTGAAAGACGAGGCTAGTACCTGTGGTCAAAACAGAGGGCCGGAGCCATCCTCTCCCGTTCCCCTATATCCGCTATACAGTAATGACCACGTATAGTGGTGATCCGTGTTCTTGTGACACAGTAGGGTAAATGTTTGACTGACATGATAAACTTCAGAAAGTATACGCAAAACTATTTTTATTTTTATTACACCTCTACTGATTTTTGTCTATATAAAACAATACGATAAGAAATCCTACTTCCATGAAATCGCTTGAATCTCTCCATCCTAGTTGTATACCCTACACCAACATAGAACTACTCCCTGCAAGAAAGAGTACTACTCCTTTTTTATATTAATTTTGACATATAATCGATATATATATATATGTGTGCTAATTTTTAGTAAACATTTCACTGTGTTCTAGTCAGATTAATAGGCCTGTAAATCCCAAGAATATTACAGACAAATCGAATCACGCGCGTTATGAATATTTGTCAGCTATCCTGTTCAGCGTAATACGACTATTACTCTGAACAGAATGAAGTTCAATATTTACATATATAATATTTTGATTAATATTGACAAATGATTGATATTTACATTTTCAAAAAAAGAAACAGCCGACAGCGGGTCTGTATTCATGAAACCGTTTTCAAGCTCAAACTAGGATTCTCTGTGTTCAAGCCCAGTTTCTTGTTCTGGTGATAAATTAATCAAAGCTCATAAGTGTCAATTATTTGGGAGAATTGAAGAGATAACTTAAGCTGAATATTATGTTCAATGTCTAGACTTTCTGATCATGTCACATGCTTTATGCAAGTTACAAGAAAGTTGGTTTGAGCACAGTCCCATACTTGAGCATGAGCACACTTTCATGAATTACAGGCCCCGGGGTGATCGTCTAGCCATCTCCAACGTTATGATTATGACGTCACAATTTCAATGACGTCATGATTATCACTCCAGGTTATGGGTTTATAAATCACGAGTGACTTTGATAGGTTCATAAAGAAGCGATGCAGAGCAAAATGTAAATATTTTATTTTCAAGTACTCAAATTTCAAACAACTCATATCTCCAGCTGTAAGATGCATCGCAAGATATAAATGCTTTTGTTGAAAATGAAAAAATCTTTCATATCAATGACAAATTGATAATGGAAAATTGCATTCTAATTTGAGGGTACTTTTCATCTTAACGACTTTCTTTGCAGTCATGAGCGCTTCATTCTCTACATTGATTGTAATACATTAATATTTTCTACAGCGGAAAAGATGCCTGGTCTAGTGGGTGATGACCTGCTTTAGTGAATGTAAAACTTGAAAAAACATTTCTTGTAATTTACAGAATATGTCGTTTTGATCCCGTTAATGAGCATAATGACATAGATTTCTGGAAAAGTGCACAAACCAACCCAAAGTCATCGACATTTGTTTTGATAATTTTATGTTACATTTTTCCCTATTTTTGTCATTATATTGACGCAGGATCCGTTACCCCCTAGTTGGGTGTGTTGATGATATTTGTGTCACGTAGAATGGAAATCCGTATCAGGGTTACATCATTAATATTATATATTTTTAAAAACGCCCTACTAAGCTAAGATGGTCCAGCTCTAAAGCGCTATGCTATACATATTAAGGACGCATCCGCGAATTTTGAAAAACGTACCTTGGTGTTGGGTGGGGTAAATATAAGCTATATGTCATTCATGCAAAGGCTTCGTGTGACTGTAGGCGTTGTATTTTTATCATATTAATAGAAATGTATCATGAAGCCGAACAAAGGTCCCTGATTTATTCCCTTTAGTTCCAACACTATTACGTGTACAAATGTATCTTAACTACCAGAAATTATATCATGCAGCCGAACAAAGGTCCCTGATTTATTCCCAATAGTTCCTACACTATTAAATGTATCGTAATTGCCTCTATCTTTGTATCCCCAGACCTGCGCTCCCTACATATTACGGCGTGCGGCCTGTCCGAAATGGAGTGGGCGGAACTTGGTGCCATCAAGGATAGGTTCACACACATGGCGGCTGATCGTAATATTGACCTAAACATCTCCACAGATCTCGTACTTGACCCCTTCTGATGTCATTAACCTCAGATGATCTGCATAATGGCATATGCAGCGGGATGTGACGTCATATAGGGCGGGGTGTTACTTTATACCATCGGAAAGGTCAACAGATGGAGGAAGATGATATAGATTTAAATCACTATTTACCGGATTCTGGATCCTTTATAATTTTAACAATATCTTTAAAATATAAACGTTTTAAACAAGACCAAAGTGTTGTATGCATATACATTTTGGTTGGAATAAACATAGAAACATGCTTGGCTTTCTTTTAGATATTTTTTTTAATAATTCGGCTTCTTTCATAATTGCTTGAACATGTACTCTCTGCTTATTTATAGGTCTCGTATTTATGTAGAAGTCGCTTGAATTGTTGCACACATATACGATCCAGTGACCTTTCAAGTGACTCAATGTCAAAATGAAATAAATATGATAGCTCACTTCACATTAAGCTACATAGCAAATGTCGGGAAATAGTTCAAGGTAATTCATAAAAGAAATGAATGTGGACTTCTCCAGCAAGATAGACGATAACCACATTTGTAACTTAACGTTAGAAAAGTTTGCTAAGCTGTTAACCCTTAATCCAAGCGGATTTGAAAGAGTCAATTAACATCCTTCTATTTACTGTAAGCTACATACTTAATATAGTTGCCATGAATCTAAGCGTGCTAATTATACAATAGAAGTTAACGACGCAAGCTTGATAGAAAGGTGACCGGTACTGAACCGTTGCAGATAGATATGCATTTCTCTCCTAAGGTGTGATTGACACACAATGACGTTGGCAAACCACATCTCACATCCATAATTTGCAAAGTAGGTCAAGGTTACTATTATTTCAACAAAGTAAGAAAGCTAACGTTACAGACAATATTCTGACTCTACCTTCGTTAGAAGACTTTAACCGATTTCATTTATATGACTTTAAAAGTTAGTCAAGAATATTTTCCTTAAACAAAGTTGAGGGTTTGTAAACAGTGCCAGCTAAAATCTTTCCGGATTTTTCCTGCCTCTTTGATTTGCCTTGTTTTGGCATGTTCCTTTCCAAATATTTCAGCATTGTCCCAATCGACAACATGACTGTGGATTCATGGTCTCTTGATGACGATTATATTTCCTGGGTGGCAAATATTTTTTGCTTATTTCAGGTAAAATTGCTCATATTTTTACACCTTTTGTGTTCTTTGAAGCATATTCCAAATTTCCCGATATCTTACAATCCTTACAGGAAACTTAGGATACAAATCCTGTGTTCTTTAGAACTCCAGTGTTGTCTTTTGAGTGCACAATACCTATCGGAGTGTTGTAAATGGTCTCATGGTGGTGTTGATATGGTGTTACGTCAAATCCTGGTCATCTTGGCAAATGTATTAGAGGTTCGTTTCGCCTCGGTGATTTTTATGCAGATTAATCATTTGGGTTTACTTGTCTGCTTTCTTTTCTGTCCATGTCAATACTCTAGCTTAGCCCTACTCCAACAATGTTAGAGGTTTTACACGGCGAAAAACTTTTGACAGGCGCCGTCGCAGTCGGCAAAATCATATCCGATTGAAAAAAGGCCGACCAGCGGCCTCTCATGTTATGGGAGTAGCTTAGCCCCAGTTTCCTACCAGACATCTATCTGTCACAATGTCCAAGTCTGATGTCAGGGGCAGAGGCCTCTAGCTACATGTATGATACCATTGGACAAGAGGTCTTGAGACATAACATAAATACAATTCGTCATATCATCCCAAGTAGGATAAAGTACAACACAGAGACAAGAATAAAATGTTTTTGCATCATTTATTTCTTTTTCTGTCTCTTTTTACTACATACATCTTCCAGTATATGAAATTTAAGCTGAACAAAACCTCACCTCACTCAACATAACAAATGGCTTGTCTTTCTAATAACCAAATAATACCGATTTCGTTTGTTATATACAGTACTAAACCACAAACACTTAAAAATGTAATGTACAATATCAACAGTGTATTTATAAACAAAATACATAAAAAAATATATACAAAGTCAGAGTATAAGAACATTACAATGTATGTAAAATTAATAGCAATTCTATACAGATGTAACCCTTCTATTCAGTTAACACTGGTAATTGACTCCTGTGGAAAAATCAGCAACAGTCCAATATCCATAGATTTTGAATTGACAATGTCTAATGCTGTCACTTTATTGCAAGTTGTGACAGTTTAGTGATTAATACTCGGAATTTCCGACAGATGTTTTGCTAACTGAAAATTCTGAGTTTCTTGCCAATTGAAGTCTAACAGTTAGGATAGTTATTGCTACTAGTGTTGTAGTATTTACATTTACTCATTCACCCCTGAAGACACATTTGAACCCTTCCAATTCAAAAGTTGGAATACTTCATTATGAAATTTCAGGGGTGAATAAGTTAATAAACTGTTAAAAGTGGCACCTGGTTAGGGAAGGCCCTGTCGATCAGCATTCTATGGAAATGTCTGCATTTATGGCACAAAACTATTCCAGTAACACTGCAAGCAGGATGCTTGTTATGGTGAATGGTCTGTTTTTCAAATATCATTACAAAATTTCCTACATTGGAAAATGTGTAATTCCAGATAAAAAACACCTCATTGGAACCAATATGCAAACAAGGTTCCAAAGTAAAACAGTAATTAGAATGTTAGTGCTACGAAACATCTCGAACAAGATTCTTTTCTCATTAGCAGTTCACTATGCTATTGCAGTTTTGTTGTAAAACTGTTTACGACAGACATTGCACAAATCTTTTGCAATCAGAGATGAACCTTCTAGATCAAAGAATATTGACAGAAACCTGAATTCTCACAGATTTGAGATTGCTGATATTTATTACAAGTGGCCAACATCGGTCCAACTGTTTACACTAGTTTGACTTCTTTGTTTGCTGATATGGTGCAGAGTTTCAATGCCCGCAGAACCTGTGGGAGATTAACGACATACATGAGTAAACTTGCAGGATAAAATCTGAAAATATAACATCATCAGTGACTTCACAATAATTACCATACTTAGTTATTGAGGTGTTAACTGCCCATCAACACTATAAAGAGGTCTTTAGGGCCAATAACATACCTTACTTGAAGTTATAAGTTATTGGCCGCATTTTATTGGCAATATTGAATTATTATACAATAAATCATCATTTATTAAATGTAACCATCTTAAAGGCAGAAACTATAACATCTTGCACCTAAATGTATTTTAATATTACACAATCAACCACTATGTATGAATGATACATAATAGGTCACCATGTCTGCTCTATGATTTATACAAACTCGTGTATAATACCTACCTTTAGTTTTGCCTCTCCTGTGTTACCAGATACCTTCAATCCCATTTTGAACATCTCTCCTGGATTAAGTGCTTTACTACAGAATGATTTTTAGAATTTAAAAGGCATTATTTGAATGTATACAGAAAAAGGTGTACATCTCTAACAATTAAAATAAAACTGTACACAGATATATAATGTATTTGTTAAAGATATCAAAGACATATGTTGTAAACATAGTTTTCTGTTGACAATGTAAGGGTGACCTTAATATTAGACAAGGTGATGGCATCTGCATTTAGAGAATGTGAGGCCCTAATAAACTCTATTTTTCTATAGTAGCGGATCTTTCCAATGTTTTATTCAGAATATTTATTAACCTACACCAAAAAATGTGAAAAACTAGAACTGTAATTCGGAGGATAACTAATACCCCCACAGATGCTGGTAGTTTATACATCATTTAGTGACCTTGACGTCAACTTACTGAAATGGGAACTCGCTCAAAATAGTTTGGCTCTTTACATGTCATATAGGCGAAGTTTCATCAATATACAAACAAAATTATAATCAGCAGAGCGAGTTTTTCGGGACAAGTTATTTCGCATTAAGGACCATAACTACCTGAAATTAAAATGCTGGTGCACAACTACTTATGTAGTTATACTGATCATTCAGGTGAAGTTTCAATAAAATCTGCCTATTAGTCAAAGTTACTGCAGACGACAGACATACAGACATCAAGCGGGGGGTTAACAAAAATTAAAATTGCAAACTTGATGCTACAATTGTTATATACCTGTTGTTTTCTTCTTTGAAATGCCTCCAGAGTATACGATATACCTGCAAAATATAGGGCGATACAGGTCATGACATGACAATATAAATTTGGGGATAAACGTGTTTTAAATTCTGTTTTCAATGTCTCACTAATTCAGAGTAAAAGAATGTCTATTTCATGAAAAAGAAACCATTATTGTGTAACATTGTGTGAATGTTTAGACAGATAGAGATGTGAATACCTTGCTTGTGCCCTACATCCTATTTACAGCTATATGATCATTTAAGGAAGAGCAAGGTTTTGGTGGAAAACAGGAGTACTCCGAGAAAAACCACCAACCTGCAGACAATAAATAGCAACTGCCTCATATGCATGTAGGTCACGAACCTGTGACCCACTGGTGGTCGACTAGTGATCGTAGACGTCAAACACCTTGACCACACTCGGCCGCCAAGTATCTGTATACTAACAGAAATGACCTCCCAATTAGGCTTATAAATACTAACAGAATTGATTTCCTTTTCACACTTACAGTATTGATGTCCGCTAGTTTACACCTGCCTCGGATTAGTTCAGACACAGATTCAAACTCCTCCTGTGTTATATCTAAACACTCGGAGGAATCAGCACGCCGTGACGAGGGAGACAACTGTGGTTCTGGAACTTTAATAAAGACATAATTGTAGTAGTTAATATAAGTGTCTCTATACATTCTATAGAGGTTTTCTGTATTGGTCATAAGTATAAACTAACACAGTTCATACCAGTAGATACTTTAGGTACAATAAACTTAGTTACAACAATTACCTCCAGGGTCATTGCGTTAGTACAACCTTTAATTATCTGCTTTTAAATAATTTGCTCATAATATGTTTGCATTGTGGACAAATATTTTCCTAAATTGCACAATTCTTTCATATTCATGGCATAACAATAAAATCAAAATGTGCACCCGCAATGGTTATCTTGGTGACTAAAATACAGGGCTTTCAGTTCTCTTTAGAATTTTTTACTTCACAAAATAGCTCCGACTCTCAGGTTTGGAAGGATATATGTCTATTAGACATGTGTTTTGACTCTTCAGATTTCAAGGAAAAGGAGATTTGACTTCTGAAATTGCTAGATTGATATCAAGGGTCATTTGAAAGACCTAAATTAGAAAAGTGATATTGACAATGTTGATGGTATTGTGTAAATTTAAAAACCCATTTAACTGTTCCAGGAAAACAAGAATGGGGTATCGATATACACAACTAAAAAGAAATATCTATTTGAGGCCAGACTCATGTATTCCTTGTGGAATTCGTCTGCTGAGTAACACAGAATTTCGCTGAACTTTTTGCACGGACGTTGGATCTCCCCATCCCCGTATTTTACAACAATTTTTTTTTCCAAACTCATTCTCGGAGGTCCGGATGGAAGCAAGTAGAGGATTTTTGAATATGGGAGAAAATAAACATGAGTGCCTGGAGAAAACCCATGTGGTTGGGCAGGTATAATTACCTTTTCTTTTCTGACCAGGGAATCAAACGTGAATATCCTAGTGAAAGGTGAGTGCGTTTTCTACCTGACCACAGTGGTATGGATAAAGTGTTACAATGCCAAATTAAAATTGGTACTCACTTGTGCAAACTGCTGGTTTTGAGAGTTCCTCAGGTACTTCGGGAGCTGTGTTGGGTATACCAGTGCTGGTTGATTCCTCTTCCGTGTTGTGGTCCCCATCAGCCTGGGGCTTGTCTGCACTACTTGGTAGTTTGATACCCAGAATGGCTTCCAATCTATCAAGCTCCTCTGGCCTTTCACCATCCTTAAATGACAACCATATTCTTAATGGGGGTAAATTGTAGGTATGGTAGTTATGATTATCACAGTACAGCGATATCTTGTTATCACAGTTTGAGAATTTGGTAAGCTTAATCATTCCAAAAATGAACATGTATGGTGCCTTATAATGTGAGAAAAAACGGACGCTGAGGAAAGCTAAACATGCCAATATTCATACTGCATGACAATTGTGTTAAACATCCCCGATACTCTAGGGTTTACACTCACTTTCACTCTCTGCACCCCTGGAAGATGTCATAGAAAAGTTGAAGGCAAATGGCTATGTATTTGATTGGTTTCAGTTAAAAACTGACCAATTGCTAGGCCTGTCCTATGAAGATTCAGATGAGCAACACCTGACTTCAAAGCAAGTCGATTTTCACCGTTACACTAACATGGGATTTGTTTTGATGTAAATCAAAGATCAAAGGATCAAACTGGTCTCATTCACAAGTTGGCACACACTTAGCCTTCACTTTTGTCATAACATATTCCAGGGGTGCAGAGAAAGCAAAGAGATAGAAGATGTCAATTAACTGGTTGATTTACATTGATGTTTTACCAACATCTTTACAAAGGATAGTCCAAAAGATGAGCAAAAGAGCCAGTTTTGGTTGAAATAATGTGAATTCCATCCCAATACACATCATGATCAGACAATCATTGCTCAATACCCTGTATGTAGTTTACATACCTGCTTTCCAGTCTGTTGTTGCAATGCTTGAAGTAATTGACATGCTGCCATCAACTGTGTTCTGAAGTACTCCACAGCCTCCTGTAAAAAACAACTCGTTGCTATAACGTTTCATTCAAAACTTAAACCTGCAGATACAGACTATACACCTGGTATTATAAATTATATTCATCATGGGTTGAGTGAAGAACAAGCTTATTTCTCCATCAATTTCACTCCACCATTACATGTATACACTGGTCCATTGTTAAATGATGCAAATACACCATATCTTGATTTGTTGAAGACAATTTCATTGGTACAAAACACACTTCCAATCAGAAAAGAATCAAAGTCCTATATTGATCAAGGCTTAAATGTAAGATTCACCTAACTTTGAAGCGTGTCGTATTTTGATGTAACTTTTAAATTGAACTGATGTCATGACCAAGTTAATGTGAAGTTAATAAATGTGTCTTAATTAAATATTGGTGAAGTGTTGCCTCTTGTGCAGCGCTGTATCAATAGTGATCGAAGGGAGGTAAGTCTTACAAAGTTTTTTTAACAGTTGCAGAAGAAATATATATGTCACTTCAGTTTTTCATACATGCAACAACGCTCTTAAATATCATTTTGGTCACACGGGTCGTTTGACTTGGCCAATGTATTACTGCAGCTGGCTAGGAAGTATATAGCTAGCTTATATTAGTTGGTTATATATAATTTAGTGCCACAGTATAATGGTTGCAGGTTCAAAGTTTGAATCCAGGTCTGGCACCTTTGCATTTTCATACTCAGAAAATTGTTGTTGCTTTTTCTTTTTTTCACTTATTTTATTTTACAGTTTTCTTTTCAGAAATGATTTATCACAGAAATGATTTATCAAAACTACAGCCGTGCTGGAAAACGTTTTTATGCATATAGTAAGTAGTTAAAGATTTTGGCAGATCTACAGGGATCCTTCATACACACATATCTTGTTAATCTCATACCATCAAATCAAAATATTATAAAACATCCACTATCGTATACATTTATTCATGTGTAGTATACGTAGCACTAATAAGCATGACTATATAATAGGTTGTATTGTTCTTTTTTATATTCTAATTAAATTGGACAACATATATATATATAATACATTTCAATTTTGAAACACTTAAGTTTTCAATTACATTTAATTTTAGAAAATTTTATGATGACAAGTTTTAAAATAAGACAAAGCAAACTGTGTCAATTAAAATGCAACCTATAGCAAACAAATAGCTAAGTTTAACAACAAATCACTTAATCTGTGATAATAAAATCATTTTTAAGTAAGAAGGATCATTTTCTTTTTGCTCAATTAAGTACCTATACTTAAGATGGAATCTTAAGCCTAAAGAAATGTTAATAATGATAAGTCCATGTACTGACCTTAAGCATGATAACTGAAATTAATTTTCATACCTTTTGTGCCTCCTGTATAGATGCTGCTTCCTTTACCAAATCTCCATATTCCTTTTTGATTTCTGATATCTTTTCAATTAACTGAGCAGGGTTTGCCTAAATTAAAACAAAAATGAACTACAAGATATTTTACTATACAGCAAAACTATAACATGAAAAAGCTAGATTTTCTATGGCCGTGCCACATTCATGAAGCACAACACATGTATATGAACACAGTGTTAATTCTATTTTTATTTTTATCAAAAATCTATTTTGACAAGAAAAGTAACAAAACTCGCATAACTATCAAACTGACATCAGTTTGTTAATGTAAATATTTTATGTACACTATACACTGAGCTACCCTGCAGTTTCTAAACTACAACGTACCCGGATATGTATGTATGACTGCCACACTAGTACTAGTACATGTTGACAAAGACTACACATTTTGAATCTGTTCAATTTAAAATCATGGTTTACATTTTTCAACTAACATAAAGAGACAACAGTTCTTAAATAGATGACTGCTAACATATAATCAAGTAAATCAACTAAGAAAAGATTCAGAGCACGATAATTTTTCCCATGAGATCCAGAAGAAATTGAATAGGAAACATCATTTAAACTCACTGGCATTTCATATCATGCTTGCTATTTTGGTAATCTGTTTCAAATTCACCCTCATTTTCCTAAACTTAATTTCCCAAAACACCCTCATAATATCCCTGTCATATAGCAATTTGCCAAAACAAAATGCATTGCTATATATATATATATTTTATACGACATGTTTAAAATTTGTGATGAAAAGCATTTAATATATGTTAATTCAAATAAATACTTTACCTTGTTTTTCTGTCCGAGCTCAAAGTCTATCTTCCTTGATAAATAAGTTAAATCTGATTCTGCTTTCTGGAACTGTGAAACATTTTAAGTTTAAACAGTACACATACATGTACGTATACATGAGCATGCAGATTCAAAGAGTGCAGCTGTACATCATTCTATATGAATACATACTGTACCATAATTAAATCAGCCATGTACTTAAAATTTTGGTTTGCCATTGTTGATTGACTCCAATTCAATGTAATTGTAACTTGATACCTCATATTATTTTCATATGAGCCCTGAACATCGTTTTCAAAAGACGATGACGAGTCCCATATTTACTATACATGTATGTAATATATTTTATATGATTCTGAAAATGTGGGCAAGTCCCATAGCACTGAACATAAGAAAAGTAGGATTCCAGAACTTAAATATGTGTTGTTGTTAAATACATATTGATGGGATACATTCAGATATTAGCCTTATCTGGCAAAATTCAGACAATCATCTCCTTATAAATGTAGTGGAACTCAGAGCATCAGTTTAAGGCTTTGAAGGGTACAGGTTTGAAGCTAAATCTGACCATGCATTTTTTATCTCTTGTTACAGTGCTGCCATGACCAACCCTCGTTTCAAGTATGTTGTATGTACGCTTGGAAAGGGGATACCCGTACCTGGGTTGAAAACAGTATTGTCTTCGGGGGCAAGGGCTTAGGGAGTGTAGCAGCGATCAATCGTGACCAGTCAGTTTAACTGGTTTAAGCGTCTAGAGTTTGGGAGTCTTCGGTCTAAATCCCAGTCTCTATGCACCTAGTTCATTAAAAGTAGTGTTGAGAATCACTTCAATATCTCTGATCAATTTTAAATGAGTAGAAATGATGTTTGAATGCAGGTGACGGTAAAACTTTTTATTAAAACTGCTCATTAATCAGTTTTAGATTGGCTGCTGGTCTCAATAACTCTTGATAATGTTAAAAGTTTTCATGTTATATTCAAACCATGATCGATCATAGAAAATCATGATCAATTTATCATAGTAGGAGGTAAAACGAATGATCATCGATTAATCGAAACAACACTAATTATATATAATTAACACTGAACCATCATAACACAGGCTCCAAAATTCTGACCAGTCACCTGGTCAGTTTATTTTTCATCTGTTTTATTCTTTGTCCATGGCGATGATGATTTGCGTATTTGTTTCCAATATCTAAGGAGGTTCAATCTAATTCTCTTTTGAAGGAGGAGACTCTTCACAAGATATTATAGCAATCGACAACACCTAAATTTTTAACTCTCACAATCGTTGTCGCCAGAATTTGGCAATTCATCCCCCGGTCAGAATTTAGCGATTATTAATATATATACATACATTCTCAAAGTTGTTCTAGAACTGTATTTATCATCCTTGTTACGTCTTGATTTTGGCCCGAAAAAAATATGTTTACAAAACGTATGTGAAAATGAAAGTACAATTTGCATACACATAGATCTACATTCCACTGGTTAGTCGGTGTATTTTTTACAATCACGATGAGAGGACGTTTAAACATAGAAACTTTTTATCACAAATCACAACAGAAGGAGATAAAAATACTAAGACCCTTTAGAGGAGAGAAAGTAAACATTTACCATTGACTCCAACGAGTTCACAGTCTGCTCCATCTTGGTTTTTACCTCCACTTCCGGTGTTTTTGTTACGGCTCTTTTGGTTGGTTTATCGGATTTGTTATAAATGTTTTGATTGGTCAATATCAGGCGCGAGGTTTAAAGAGGTAGATTTCCTGTATGAACTCCGGAAATGTTGAGATGTTTGAAAATCAGGATTTAAATAGGTAAACTGATCATGACATATGTCTTGTTTATTCGGTCTTGAAGTACGATTTATGTAACGGGATTGTGTCACCGATGATTGCATTCAAAGAACCACCGGATCGGGAGATAAGAACGTTAACTACAGACATAACCTGTAACTGTTTCATGTGGGATTCAAATGCAGACTGCTTCCCTAAACACGGGGCACGGTTCATTTTATCAACATACATAATAACGTTATTATGTATGGTAAACAAGGATATAAATTGAACCATGCCCCAAGCTAGAAAGTGTTTTTTTTTCCAAAGTGAAGAAACATGTTCCCATTTTCAATAGAAATAATCCTATGTTTTCAAGTTTCATTTAGGAACAGGCTGTTGATAAATTGAATTAGAAAAAACATTAAAGTGTGAACTCACGCCTATCAGAGACTATACGTCTCTGCGCCTAAGACCTGACCACATGTAATATATGAGTGTATTGATAGATCTAGACGAGGTTAGTTGCTGCGCGCCATGACCTTACATACATGAACATAATTCTCGCACCTCAGATTATCCCCCGTCATACCCCATGCTAAATTTTTCTGTCTCGTCCAATCTGTCTGGAACCTTTACGTGACATTTCGCAAAGTTTTTACAATGCAATGTATTCATCCGAGCGTTAACGGCTTGAAATTGACAATATGCATTACTATGTAACAGGAGAAGAGAAATGCTTGGCCAGACGGAGGTTCAAACCCAGGACCCTCCAAACTCTAGACGGATGCTCTACCAATTGAGCTATCTGGTCGCCGACGATCGACCAAGTGGATAGTTCCTATAATATTTATTAACAATTAATATGATGAATTATGTACAAATGATAATATATTTTAGACAACAAGGCTAAACCGACATACACTGTAACAACTCTGACACATGCGTCGCACACATACACATTAACGACACATAACACTACACAGGCTAAACTAACGATAAATATATAAACCATCCCTTCCCATCATAACACGTATAATCCCTGCTTACTTCTAAAACTATGTCATAGCACTCTCCGGAAATCAATCCGTCTGACTGCCCTGATCTATAACGAAACATTGTATTTATAAACACGAGACTTAAAACGCAAGTTGTTTTTCCCGTCCAAGCACGCCCGGTAGTAGAGACAGTGTGCAGCCTACTTTCGATTTTGCTGACAAAACGCTATGGAGTGCGACATTTTCACTCACTCGAAAATGACCTTTCAGGTCACAGTGCACCGTCCTGCTAGCAGAAAACATCCCTGGTATGTTAACCCCGACTCTGCACCAGATTTAGTAGCAACCCAACCAGTTGGATTGAGACCCATCTCTATTGTATTACAAACATTCTGTTTTGTCGGTATATGTATTGTTTTGATGTAGTTAGATATCTAATGTTGTAGATCAAATATAATCTACACTGAGAAATACCTTGTCTTTGTAAGGACCGACTACATTTTTACGTGGAAGCATTAAAATGTTATTTTAGTAGTGTAGAGGCATTTTTAATCCGAGGCCTAAGACAGGATACTTGCATGTAGTCTTTAGCAATTTTTTTTTTTTTTATTTCGATGTAAATGTACGAGAATTTTTTTATTTATCTATAACTGAGTAAGATTGGGTACAGAATCTTTGCCCTCGACTGAGATAACTCGATCTTGCTCAGTTACAGGTAATAGATTTTATTAGTCTTAGCCTCCTAATTTAAGGACAGTCAGTGCTACAGTCAGTGGCTGAAACTGAGCCCAGTAGGCACCAAATGTCTGTTGAAGGTAATCACTGAGCTTGTGTGACCTACTCATCCAAATAATTCAGTTCCGGGTTGTTTCGCTCGAAATACCGTTCGCCCTAGGTTGTTTCGCACTAAGACAAAAAAATAAGGGCAAAACATTGTTTGGAATTTTCTTAAATTTTAGTAGTTTTAAGTCACAAATAATAATTCTTCTTATAATTAGTTTTCCAAATCATTAAAATCAATTTTATATACAAAAAAACGGTTTGTGTTGTTTTTAAGCGAGTGTGACAAACAGTAGCTGTGAAAAGGTGACTACTCACTCACACAGTGGATATTTTTCTACATGAAGTATACCAATGTAGAAAGTAATCAATAAGTTGAGTTGATATATTTAAATATTAATTATTATATTAGCGTAAATAAAATAAAAATATTAGGGCAAAACAACCTACAGAGCGAACAGGATTTAGGGCGAAACAACCCTTAGTGCAAACTTAATCTTTTTTATTATGGAACTGCAGTTCAACCAACTGAACTGTTACAAATATTTTGATCTACAGCGAGTGTACATTCCTAATTTCATGTTTTTACAGTGATATGGAGCCGTTCAGTCTGAGTCCATACAGGAACAAGGTGGACGTCTCCGGCCCTGACCCAATAGCATGGTTTAGGACTGGTCAGCTAGTGGCCGCAGCCACCGGTGTCAGTACACTGTTGACCTGGTGTAGTCGATGTCTAGGAAAGGTACATGTAGGCCAGTTGCCACAGTTTTTCTATCAATATTAGGTATATTTCAACATTTTTCTGTCTTCAATTTCAGAAAGATTTTGATAAAACTTTATACAGTATACAGTTGTTTCATGCCTTATCAGTCAACAGTTAAAACTGTTTTCCCGAGGAGTTGGGACCCACCAGATGAACTGTTTCCCGAGGCCGCAGGCCGAGGGAAACAGTTTATTTGGTGGGTCCCAACTCCGAGGGAAAATGGTTTTGATTGTTGACTGATAAGGCATGAAACAACTGTTTTGTTACTTGACCAATGAAAAACCAAAAAGTTCTATGTCGAATGTGATGTTTAGGTCTACCGACAGACGACCGTCAACAATCCAGTACCAAAAACGCTTGATCATCGGGGGGCTTGTAATTATAGGTGCGTTCGATTACCTAACATGTGACCAGTCAACAGTTGCACGTGACCAGTCAACAATTTCGCGTGACCAGTCAACAGTTTCTTGTTACCAGTCAACAGTTTTACGGTAGCACACATTAGCTATAGTTCGTTTGGTGAATTGTCTGGGAAACAGTCGAAATTGATTAATATGCGTTTATATAGCGAGTCAGGTAACAATACAATATAGCTCATGATCATGATCAGTAGTATATAATCTTACCTTTCAAGGCCCATACGTATACTGGCATAGTAAAAAAGTAAAGGTTGTTCAGTGTTTACTTTTACTGTTGGAACATTATTTGTGCTAGGAATATTTTAAAGGAAACGCAGTGAGAATGCATTCTAGTTTCACATTTTTAAGTGAAAAAAGGACTCAGAAGCAGGTATTCATTTTCTTATTCCTTCGATAGTGACATACATTATGCAGATAGCTTAAATACATGTTTTGATATATATCTAGACATATAAAGTTTAGACCTTTAAGGAAAATTTTGGAAAGATATAGCATACTATTCACATAAGTCCATGTATTTCAACATAACACTGGCCTATTCATATTTTTAAATTGCTACATGTATATGATCTAAATTGTGTCAATATTAATTCTTAAAAATAACCTTTCACCACACAGATTTTTGTATGATTTGGATTGTAAGTGTTTGTTATTAGAGCGTTTTTTTCATTCTTTTCAGAGAAAAAATGCTTGTAAAACTGTTAAAAAATTAGTAATTTTCATGCATTTACATTCTAAATTAAAATTTTGATAAATTTATCTTCAGACCAAAACATATAAGTATAATAATATATATATGTACATATATTGTGATATAAAATGGCTTTTGTCTTTTTATATATATATAAGTATATAAAGGCCATGTATACATATAGTATACTGATGTTGGGGAATGTTTTTAATATTAATTTACCGAATTTATCCTGCAATAGCATATGCCTGTTAATAAGCCCACCCATATATATTGTAGTTCAGTAGAGCTATTTAATTGTCCTGTCATAAGCCCACACCTTTACTTTGATTCAGAGAATATGTGCTTGTTCCCTTGTCTTAATATTTCAGGTTAAATATGGTACTTGGTTTTATGTGTTTTAGAGTTTAAGTGTTGCACGGGAAAAGGTGTTTCCCCACCACTGGTACCAGCAGGAACTTCAGAAGATGTTTGAGCGACTTGACGACTTGGAACGGGAACTTCAGGAGCTGCGGGACTCTAGACCAGAACCGGTACAAAACAAATAGATCAGTGGAAATAAATATAAGCTATATTTCCTCCTTTTTTAATCTTTGAAAATTAAGAATATTTTGAAAAAGTGGAAATATTGGTAATCTCAACATTAAATTGTGATCCTTTTTCAGAATGTGAAAATATCACATTATGACTTGAAATAAAAATATCAGATCAAAAAGCAGACATTATGTTGGTCTAACAACAATTTTAAAGTATTTCTTAATGTTTTTTGAAAGTTGATACTTATAGAAAACTTTTATCATGGTGAGAAAGATGATGGGAGTAGTATGTATACATTTCAATGGTTATTTATAATCTTTGAATAAATATTCTGTCAGTTAATTGTTTTACAAAAAATACATCCAAAACACTCCAGGCTATCTTGATATATTAGTTTGGTTGTAAGACTTTGAGATAGTTTGACCTTTCATATGATTTCAGTCTGCAGAAAAAGATGCAGTTGTCCCCCCTGGAACCTGCTCAGGATGTCGGTGTTCTCAGTGTGGGAAACCTGTCTCTGCTAATTCCATGATACCAACAGCTTCTGTACAACAAGCTACAGTACCGCCCCCTCCTCCTCCACCTCCTCCCCCTCCTCCTGTACATACCCCTACCCAAACATACATCAGGACAAGGAAACGCAGGATCAGCTCAAAGGTAAATATCACCATGACCTCATACTAATAAGAAAGGTTTGTACTACTGAAGTTATTGTTATTACTGCCAAGCATTGGCATTAACAGGATTCAGTTTTAGCACTCCCACACTTGCATATTGTTATTTCAAAGTCATGATGGTCTAATGTGTCAAATATCAAAACAACCTCTTCTAAAGAGCAATAATGCCAAGAGTGATGGTATTTTTATGTAGCTTCTTGGGTAAATAGCTATCAAGTTTGCACAAATGAATAGCTCCAACCCACTTTTGAATTCACATAAGTCATGTAAAAGTTAAATATGATTTCTTGCAGTGATGATTTTTGGATTAGCTTGCTGAAGTGAAGGGTTATCAAGATTGTTTAAATGGATAATTTACCTTGACCCATTTTCAAAATCAAAGTGTCAAATGTTGTAAAAAGCATATCTAATAAGAAATCTATTGGATTCATAATAATGACGCAGATAATGATATCGTAATGAGGATCTAAATATTTCAGATTTCGTCAAATGATTGACCTTATCTAGTAACTTACTGCCGAGATCATAGGGAATGAAGACCTACCAAATGTGTCAATACTAATGATTTTCCTGTTTGTATAACACATTAATAATATCATTTTACATGACATCAGATTTTATTGTGATGTAAAAAAAAAAAGATTTAAAATCTACCGGTAACATATTATGGAAAGCCTTTAAAAAGATGTATGTATAGTGCTAAATTCATAATCGATCAAAGAAGTCTTTGTACGATTGCAGGAGGAGAGCAATTCTCGACCTTCAGTGACCTTGGAACAGCTACAGCATGTGAAGTTGAGGAGAGCTGAGCCGAGACCACCACTGGTATGTGATGCTGTGTATGTAGGTAGTCACAGGCCCCAAAGATGTACTTACTTATAAAAATGCTTCATTAGGTTTGCCTATTTAAATCAGCGTAACATTTTCTTCTTATAGGGAAGCAGAAATGATTGGAAATAAATTTGTATGTTTAAGAAAATACCCTTTATATACTGTAGGATATATGAATATTTATCTTGGAAATCAACAATTTTTCAGGCGACAAATAGATCTAGTACTAGTTGTCGGCTAAATAAACTTAAAACCCCACTTAATCGGTGACGCTTGAGAATGTTTTGATTATGATCCTACTTTAGATATATATATTAAACTTCTGTAATCGCTCTGCATACCTTTTGGTTTCCATACTCAAAGCGAAGCGCCCCACTGATCAACCCACAAACCTACACCTTACGATGGCTCTAGATCTATCACCTTTAACTTAACCTACACCTGACGGTGGCTCTAGTTCTATCACCTTTAACTTAACCTACACCTGACGGTGGCTCTAGATCTATCACCTTTAACATAACCTACACCTGATGGTGGCTCTAGATCTATCCCCTTTAACATAACCTACACCTGATGGTGGCTCTAGATCTATCACCTTTAACTTAACCTACACCTGACGGTGGCTCTATCACCTTTAACTTAACCTGCACCTGACGGTGGCTCTAGCACCTTTAACTAAACCTACACCTGACGGTGGCTCTAGATCTATCACCTTTAACTTTAATCAAAATTATTCACTTGTTGTATTAACAGATTTTTAAAAATCAACCCCGCACTTAGATAGGAGTGAAAGCTGAAGACTGACTTACACTGCTGTTCGAATTATATATAGAGTTCAGACCAGTTGTACAACACATGCCTTAATTCTGTTTTAGAGAGCAGAAAACAGCACAGCTACCCCTGAAATGAACTTGAGACAACGGGTGCTGAAAACAGCAATTGGTCGGGGCAAGGAAAATATACAAGACAGGTGAGCATGATATTTCATGTATGTTTATAATGTTGACTTGGAAGTCTATGGAAATAAAACAGGACGTGTACATTGCAAGGAGGTCTCAGCATTAATTTATGTTAATTAATTAAATAATAACAGTATTATTGTAGAAAACTTTCGTCTGCCTAGACTGCTGTTATGAAACATTTCTAATGAGAAGTGTCTGAGGAAATGCTTATCAAAACAGTGTCTAATAAAATGTGAGCTAGACAGCTATCAGCAAAACATTTTCTGATGCTAGATGTCTAAGTCAACCATCATCACAACATTTTCTATTCAAAGATGTCTTAGGAAGCTGCCATTTGAAAGGCTGGTAATAAAAGGTGACAGTTGTAATCAGAACAGTGATTACACAGTGACTTATAGATAGTTTTAACCACAATCGCCCCCAAACTTCATGTTGTCATATCTGGAATAACCCTTAAGGAAACAAACTGGTAAAGAATTTGTGGGGGGAAAAAACAGCAGTTAATACCAAGATTTGGAGTGAGTTATGTATTAAAATTCTAAGATTGAAATTTTGATTCTTTATAACCTGAATGGAATTTAAGCTCCCTCCTGATAGAATGTCTATTCTGACAACTTACTCTTTTGAATCAAGTTTCTACCGTCACTGCGCTAACAAAAATCAAATTCTATCTGTCGACAGACTTTCCTCTTTCTGTCTTAACCCTCCTCTGAAATTAATCCTTTAAATTGTTGAAGCTGGTCAGTATCCTGTAGAAATAAAATAAAGGTGAAATTTGATGGAGTAAGAAATCTGTTTCAGTAATTATCTACCAGTACCGAACAAATTATAGACCTTTTATAATGAATAAGACAGATTTTCAGAAGAATATAACTTGCATGGATGATAATCTTTAACTCATTCACAGTTGAACTGTATATTAACTGTAATTTGTACTGTCACTTTGTAGGATAGCCAGTGACGTGTTATAGTCGTTACATTTGTACTGTCACTTTGTAGGATATCCAGTGACGTGCTATAGTCGTTACATTTGTATTGTCACTATGAAGGTAGCCAGTGAAGTGTTATAGTCGTTACATTTGTACCGTCACTTCGTAGGATAGCCAGTGAAGTGTTTTAGTCGTTACATTTGTATTGTCACTTTGTAGGATAGCCAGTGAAGTGTTATAGTCGTTACATTTGTCCTGTCACTTTGTAGGATAACCAGTGACGTGTTATAGTCATTACATTTGTACTGTCACTTTGTAGGATAGCCAGTGAACTGTTGTTGTTACATTTGTACTGTCACTTTGTAGGATAGTCAGTGAAGTGTTATAGTCGTTACATTTGTACCGTCACTTCGTAGGATAGCCAGTGAAGTGTTTTAGTCGTTACATTTGTACTGTCACTTTGTAGGATAGCCAGTGACGTGCTATAGTCGTTACATTTGTATTGTCACTATGCAGGTAGCCAGTGAAGTGTTATAGTCGTTACATTTGTACTGTCACTTTGTAGGATAGCCAGTGAAGTGTTTTAGTCGTTACATTTGTACTATCACTTTGTAGGATAGCCAGTGAAGTGCTATAGTCGTTACATTTGCACTGTCACTTTGTAGGGTAGCCAGTGAAGTGCTATAATCGTTACATTTGTATTGTCCCTTTGTAGGATAGCCAGTGACGTGCTATAGTAGTTACATTTGTATTGTCTCTTTGTAGGATAGCCAGTGATGCGTAATAGTCGTTACATTTGTACTATCACTTTGTAGGATAGCCAGTTAAGTGATATAGTCGTTACAGTTGTACTGTCACTTTGTAGGAAAGCCAGTGCCGTGTTATAGTTGTTACATTTGTATTGTCACTTTGTAGGAAAGCCAGTTAAGTGATATAGTCGTTACATTTGTACTGTCACTTTGTAGGATAGCCAGTGAAATGTTATAGTCGGTACATTTTTACTGTCACTTTGTAGGATAGCCAGTGAAGTGTTTTAGTCATTACACTTGTACAGTCACTTTGTAGGAAAGCCAGTGACGTGTCATAGTCGTTACATTTGTACTGTCACTTTGTAGGATAACCAGTGACGTGTTATAGTCGTTACATTTGTATTGTCACTTTGTAGGAAAGCCAGTTAAGTGATATAGTCGTTACAGTTGTACTGTCACTTTGTAGGATAGCCAGTGATGTGTTATAGTCGTTACATTTGTACTGTCACTTCGTAGGATAGCCAGTGAAATGTTATAGTCGGTACATTTTTACTGTCACTTGGTAGGATAGCCAGTGAAGTGTTTTAGTCATTACACTTGTACAGTCTCTTTGTAGGAAAGCCAGTGACGTGTCATAGTCGTTTCATTTGTACTGTCACTTTGTAGGATAGCCAGTGAAGTGTTTTAGTCATTACACTTGTACTGTCACTTTGTAGGAAAGCCAGTGACGTGTCATAGTCGTTTCATTTGTACTGTCACTTTGTAGGATAGCCAGTAAAGTGTTATAGTCGTTACATTTGTACTGTCACTTCGTAGGATAGCCAGTGAAATGTTATAGTCGGTACATTTTTACTGTCACTTTGTAGGATAGCCAGTGACGTGTTATAGTCGTTACATTTGTATTGTCACTTTGAAGGATAGCCAGTGACGTGCTATAGTCGTTACATTTGTATTGTCACTTTGTAGGATAACCAGTGACGTGTTATAGTCGTTACATTTGTATTGTCACTTTGTAGGTAGCCAGTGAAGTGTTATAGTCGTTACCTTTGTACTGTCACTTTGTAGGATAACCAGTGACTTGTTACAGTCGTTACATTTGTACTGACACTTTGTAGGATAGCCAGTGAAGTGTTATAGTTGTTACATTTGTATTGTCACTTTGTAGGTAGCCAGTGAAGTGTTATAGTCGTTACATTTGTACTGTCACTTTGTAGGATAGCCAGTGACGTATTATAGTTGTTACATTTGTACTGTCACTTTGTAAGATAGCCAGTGACGTGTTATAGTTGTTACATTTGTATTGTCACTTTGTAGGTAGCCAGTGAAGTGTTATAGTCGTTACCTTTGTACTGTCACTTTGTAGGATAGCCAGTGAAGTGTTATAGTTGTAACATTTGTACTGTCACTTTGTAGGATAACCAGTGATGTGTTATAGTCGTTACATTTGTACTGTCACTTTGCAGGATAGCCAGTGAAGTGTTATAGTTGTTACATTTGTACTGTCCCTTTGTAGGATAGCCAGTGACGTGTTATAGTTGTTACATTTGTATTGTCACTTTGTAGGTAGCCAGTGGAGTGTTATAGTCGTTACATTGGTACTGTCACTTTGTAGGATAGCCAGTGACGTGTTATAGTTGTTTCATTTGTACTGTCACTTTGTAGGATAGCCAGTGGAGTGTTATAGTTGTTACATTTGTACTGTCACTTTGCAGGATAGCCATTGATGTGTTATAGTCGTTACATTTGTACTGTCACTTTATAGGATAGCCAGTGACGTGTTATAGTTGTTACATTTGTATTGTCACTTTGTAGGTAGCCAGTGAAGTGTTATAGTCGTTACCTTTGTACTGTCACTTTGTAGGATAGCCAGTGAACTGTTATATAGTCGTTACATTTGTACTATCACTTTGTAGGATAGTCAGTGAAGTGTTATAGTTGTTACATTTGTACTGTCCCTTTGTAGGATAGCCAGTGACGTGTTATAGTTGTTTCATTTGTACTGTCACTTTGTAGGATAGCCAGTGACGTATTATAGTTGTTACATTTGTACTGTCACTTTGTAAGATAGCCAGTGACGTGTTATAGTTGTTACATTTGTATTGTCACTTTGTAGGTAGCCAGTGAAGTGTTATAGTCGTTACCTTTGTACTGTCACTTTGTAGGATAGCCAGTGACGTATTATAGTTGTTACATTTGTACTGTCACTTTGTAAGATAGCCAGTGACGTGTTATAGTTGTTACATTTGTACTGTCACTCTGTAGGATAGCCAGTGAAGTGCTAGGTTTTAACGGCAGCCTCAGTGAACTGTTATATAGTCGTTACATTTGTACTATCACTTTGTAGGATAGTCAGTGAAGTGTTATAGTTGTTACATTTGTACTGTCCCTTTGTAGGATAGCCAGTGACGTGTTATAGTTGTCACATTTGTACTGTCACTTTGTAGGATAGCCAGTGACGTGTTATAGTTGTTTCATTTGTACTGTCACTTTGTAGGATAGCCAGTGAAGTGTTATAGTCGGTCCATTTGTATTGTCACTTTGTAGGATAGCCAGTGACGTGTTATAGTTGTCACATTTGTACTGTCACTTTGTAGGATAGCCAGTGAAGTCCTAGGTTTTAACGGCAGCCTCAAGAAAACAAGTTGAAGTGTTATAGTTGTTACATTTGTATTGTCACTTTGTAGGTAGCCAGTGAAGTGTTATAGTCGTTACATTTGTATTGTCACTTTGAAGGATAGCCAGTGACGTGCTATAGTCGTTACATTTGTATTGTCACTTTGTAGGATAGCCAGTGAAGTGCTATATTCGTTACATTTGTACTGTCACTTTGTAGGATAGTCAGTGAAGTGTTATAGTTGTTACATTTGCACTGTCACTTTGTAGGATAGCCAGTGAAGTGTTATAGTTGTTACATTTGTACTGTCCCTTTGTAGGATAGCCAGTGACGTGTTATAGTTGTTTCATTTGTACTGTCACTTTGTAGGATAGCCAGTGAAGTGTTATAGTCGGTCCATTTGTATTGTCACTTTGTAGGATAGCCAGTGACGTGTTATAGCTGTTACATTTGTACTGTCACTTTGTAGGATAGCCAGTGAAGTGCTAGGTTTTAACGGCAGCCTCAAGAAAACAAGTGTGAAGAGGTAAGTGATTTTTATACTTTTTCACATGATTTAATTACTTTTGGGGGGAATTTATTTATCAATCAGGTCTGCAAGGTCCTTTTTTTAATGCAGTTGAGTTAAACTGTACAATCTGAGCTGTTATGAACAACTATCTGATACTACATTCCCGGAAGAAGGTGAAATTGATTGAACACAGTTGATTGGTTTTTTTTAACATTTTGGTTAAGGATCCCCGTACCACTGCCAAAAACTGTAACTAGGTGTTGGAAACTGTTTTTTGAGGCATTACTATAGCTTGGTAAATCGTTTCTGAAAAGAAAACCATACCTTACAAGACTTTAATGATTAATAATAAAGATGAAATAAACAAAACATATTCAACAGTGTTCTGAGTGGAAAACAATTCAGCAGTTCTAGACTTGGATTCTACAATGGACTTCAGATTTTTGTCTTGCCGCCACGCAGAGGAAGCCAGGTTTAGGTTTTGCTTTTCCGGCAAAGGCGGTGTCAACATTAAGTTATTGCGTTCAAGTTAGTTTCTCTGAAAGTATAAGTGCTACACCAACCAAACTTGGACCATAGATGCATCTTAGGTAGTAAATCTTAATCCTTGCATCAAATGGTGGATGTAGCTTACCTTTCATGGTCCATTGACTTTGTCAGCTTCTCCATCAACATTAAGTTATTGCGTTCAAGTTAGTTTCTCCAATATGTGCATTGATGGTCAAAGCGAGGCATAGGCAAGACATATCAATCTGAATGGCTTGTTATACCATTACTCTAACAAATGAAGCTACCTGGTCATGAAATGGCAAAATTGCCCATGTATCAACTACACTACAGGTATACATCTATGTGCTGATATAAATGTACAAAATGTTGATCAGATCCACTAATTAATTGGCTACTCTTTGTTAAGTATGAATTCTACAAAACTATTTACTAGCTATCTTGAAGATTTTTTTTTATAGAAAGGTCTCAAAATTTGTACATATAAGATTAAGTTTCCCTAGCGTACATGTAAGTATTGTTTTTATTATACTACATTTGATGTATATTGCCTTGTACAGAAGCCCTGGGGGCACCCCAATAGTGAAACGTAAGCGGCCAACTGGTAAAGGATTAACCCCAATGATGGCTACAGCCTTGAAGAAGAAGTTTGTTGTGAGTATATTTCAGCTTCATGTAAATATATATAATCATTACTTGTGCAGAGACGGGGCACATACATGTGAATGTCTTTCCAGATTGGTAAACACATCCGTACGTTACACTGTATGAAATGATTTATGGTTATCTTAATACATGTTGGAGGTGTATTTTTTTGTAACTGCCCACCACCCAAGAAAAAGTGAAAGTGTACAAACAGCACACTATAGGTCTGTTTAATAATTCTTAAATTGTTTTGAATGTACTTCACTAGATCTTTAGAAATCTTAAAACTCCGGATCAGGTTTGATACCTACAGAAATACCTGATATATATTTTTGGATTGGAAAGTCTGCTGTTTTCATACTTATGATAATGGCTGAAATTCATCAACAATTTGTTTTCTTACTTGAATAATGAACATTTTAAGTCCTATTGATACTTGAATCTCTGAAAAAAAGGGTTGTAAATAAAATGAAGGTTCAAGAATACATATGACTGGTACATTTAACCTCCATATTTATGATTACACTTCAGTTTGCGAATGACAGTCGTTCATCTAGTGACGATTCCTTAGAAGGATCTCCGTCACCACAGCGCCAAATATCCCCTCTGGCTCGGATTCCAGGTCACGAATCTTCAGTGTCGCCTAGTCCACGCAAGCGAACCCCACTTGCTGACAATACTAACTAGTCTTACATTCTTTCCTACCCTGTAATCCTGTGATATTCTTACTGCTTGTCATCCTACTGGCTGTGTCATATTTATAACATTTTGATATTCTTTGTTAATTATTTTATTACACTCTCATAACAAATCATAACGATTATTACCTTATTACATGCAGCTCTTAATTTTTATTAGAATCAAGTTATATATAAATTACTTTAATTTTGAATAATAAAAATATTGCGAGTATTAACTGTTGTCAAAATCATCCCCTTGATGTTCACCGCCACGGATGTCGGTACTGTAAAACCTCGTTCTAATTCATTTGAGATGGATCAGGGCATTTGATTGGTCAATCAAAATAATTTGTGACAGTAAAACCAAGATATACGGTCTGCAAATTTCTCATTTGCATATGAAGCCTGAATGGCGATTGTTAATGAGGTAATTGACCCTGACTGACCCTGACACGTCATGAAATTGATAATTCATGACGTCACAACAATAGCGTGACCCTGAAAGGTCAACATATTTCAGCCTCACTTTGAATATTTCTGATGCCACCAATCAAGAGCAGAGAGACCCCAATTTGAAGAAAACCCTCAAAAGTATCTTAAAAACGTCGTTTAGAATGGCGATAACCCTACCCTATTTTGAAATATGCTACATAGTATATTGTGATTGTACTGTCGCAAATATCCGATTTACTGGTTCTGCTCCATGTCGCCAGTAAAACTCAATTTACGACAGTATAATCAATATATACCGCCTCAAATTTTAAAATACAATAAGGTTATCCCCTAATTATGCTGCTTTCCCCTTTGAAGATATGTTGTATAGTCGATTAGTCGGTATTTTCATATGCTTAAATGATTAGTAATTTGCTAAAAAAAAATCATGTTAAATCAAATGTTCATGATTAGTGATAGAAAAGATTTAACTTTATGTTACTGAGGTAAGGGACCTTACTTTGGCTTGATATGTGTTTGTATTGAGGTTTACTGAAGTTTGTAAAGATTTTTTTCTGAAACACCTTTTTGTTTTTGGTTTGATTCTGGTACAATGAAAAGCTGCATCAAATTTAGGTATGTTTTGTGAGGTTTTTTAGAGTTCCTTTTTTTGTACTCGCCAAAAAGTGAAGCTTAGGGAAAAGATGATAGATCTGTTTTTTATGTGATTATATCAGTTTGTATATATATGCTTTTGATATATTTTATATTGGTATGTTTGATATATATATATAAATCAATATTGTATATCTCACTTATTGTTTTTGTTGCATTGTGATCAGTATAAAACAAGAGATCCACCGTCTTGTATGTCATAAATACAGCAGATAGCTATCTTTCACATTTTTTTTTGTAACAGAACTGTATCATTAAGTACATAATCGTGCATATGTAGTATCAGTGTGCATCATCACACTGTAGGCATGCATATTTTAGTGATAATCTTATTTAATCATGTTTGAAACATGGGGCTGAATTATGGTTGCGCAAATATATGAAGTAAAAATGACATTGACCAAGAAATCATTTACACTTTTAAAGGCAGAATGAATGGTTGAACAAGTATTGTAGTGATAAAATTATATTAATATTTCTATTGTCTATATAAAATTATGGATTGAAATTAACACAAAGTACTGTAAATGCATTTATTTTAGCACTCATAGTTAAGGGCATTATCAAAATTAATTGATAAGCACATTGATGAATTAGCACACAAGGATAGGAATATAAAGTAATATCTCTAAAAGTGCCTGCATACATCCTAGACTATTTGATCAGACATCATAGACTATTTGATCAGACATCCTAGACTATTTGATCAGACATCCTAGACAATTTGGTCAGACATCATAGACTATTTGATCGGACATCCTAGACTATTTGATCAGACATCATAGACTAGACATCATAGAATATTTGATCAGACATCCTAGACTATTTGATCAGACATCATAGACTATTTGATCAGACATCCTAGAATATTTGATCAGACATCACAACTATTTGATCAGACATCATAGACTAGACATCATAGACTATTTGATCAGACATCATAGACTATTTGATCAGACATCCTAGACTATTTGATCAGACATCATAGACTATTTGATCAGACATCTGTTGACACCTTATCTCGACCATAGTTTTACTTCATCTGAAGATTTGATTAAATTACGTAATATGTAGTAGATTTTTCTCCCACCTCTGCATATGAATGATACATGTGACCTATTTGTGGGATACGTGTTAGGTGTATCACACAATGGTGCACTCAGTTACCTGTTCTATTATGATGTCACAATCAGATGACAGTGTTTTATTATGACGTCAAATTGAAAACATGTGAAAACATTGTTTGACTGTTGCAATATTACTTTTGGCAAGTGACATGACTTTAAGAACACAAGAAACGTTGTTCAAGCTCGCCCAAAGGTATTACATTGATCATTTAAGTTGAGGTATAGCTTTAGTATACAGTAGTTCTTTTCTTCTCTTTCCAAATATGGCCATAGTTTGTGTATACGTTATCTAGAAACTTTGCTATTGTTAGTGTTGTCTTTGCTTTGTCTGTCCTGTTATACAAAAAATTCAGATGAGAGATGGGAGAAAAAAGTCATTCAACTTGTAGGTATGTGGGATACAGATATTCTACCCTCGAGTGCAAATTTGGTGTCAGAACCTCGGCAAACTCTACACCATCGGGTTGAATACCCATATCCCACATGCCTACATATGATGAGATGCTGTTAGCATTACGACCAGATTGTGTGTCGTGTAACACTCGGGTCCGTACCCAAAAGTTCAAAGAAAACTGAGGGATCAAAGGTCAAATACTAGTAATATATATGTGTAAAATCTTTGTAAAATCAAACAAACCTGCTTTTTACCCATCATTTGTATGAATATACAGAATTATACAGAATAGGATTATTCAAAGTTTAGCAATATATTACTCTTTTTTTAGTAGTGCAATGCACTGTTTGTGCATGTACATGTACATCAAAATAAATGTTCGCTTCTTGACTGGGAAGCAGAAAACAGCCTTACTTCATGACTGTCCATATCCTATATTTTTGCCCCAGAGTTATCTTTCCAATAGAAATAGTAGATCATTCAAGTATATGGTAGAGGGTTTATACTTATATATATATATAACCATGAATTTATCATCTGTGACACTAATTCATTATAAGTTTGTCATTTTTTTTCCAGAATATTAAAATATAACTTGAAATAGGTTAAAGCTGACAGTGCAAGTTAAATATCTTTCAATTGAGATTTTAAAAAAGAAATTTTAAAAAATCTGGTTTTAAGATCTTCCCCATCTCTTCCAACTATCGTTTCTAAGGAAGTGCGGACATTTCAGTTTGTCCTTGCTTGGTAACAAGTATGGGTCTCACTGGGTATATAACAAGTGCATTACCCGTCATTATTTTTTTTATCTTAATTGATAGCTTTTTAACTTGCACTGTCAGATTTAAGCACTTGATTCAATGGATACCTCATCTGAAGCAATATTTGTATTAAAATGTATGTGATGTATTTGTTATAATCTAATGGCTTTAGAAGAGCATGTGATATTGTTACTAGAATGTCTTTCATTATCAATCTGTTTATGTGAAATATTTAAATTTCACTGCATATTTGTCACCATTTTCTGTCCTAAAATTTAGAATTCACAGACCATAGACAATGGGTCTTTGGGGTTTATGTGACATAGGGTAAATGAAATAAGTGATTCCAAAAGACTTTCAGTGTTTTAATGGTGAGTGTTTATGGGCCTGTCATTAAATTCAATCGCGGAATTGAAATACTGTAGCTATTGTTCTTCTGCTAAAATCTTTGTCTAAAATACATGATTTTAAGAGAGGCAAGAGGGGTGGAACAATACCAAATTTCTTTCTGCTCTTTCCAAATATGGCTTCAGTTTCTGATTGTGATATCTAGAAAATTTGATATGTTTAGTGTTGAATTTGCATTGCCTATGTACTGTTTTATCAAAACATTGGTTAAGAGGTGGAGAGAGAAAACATTCATTCATTACGTTGGTATGTGCTGCAGAATTTGGTGTTGTAACGAATCTCGGCAAAGCTACAGTTCTGGTCCAAATTCATCTCTCACCTTGGGGGTGAGAGATTCTATTAATTCTCCCCGAAACCTTGGGATTCTCAACCTGAGGGGGAAGAATCTTAAGTTACTAAACATGAGGCTTTGTTTAGTGTTTGGCAACTAAAGAATCTTTCCCCGAGGGTTGAGATTCCCCTATCTCACCCTCAAGGGGGTAAATGATTCTTTTTCTCTTACCCTGTTCACTCATTATGTATCATATACATAATGTAAAGTTAACATTACTGGCTAAATTCAGGGTTGACGTGACGTTGGTGGATTGTTGATGCGACATCATTGTATTGTTGATGAGTACTACTTTGTACATAAATTGTGGTCACATTGATCTATACTATCCACTCAACTGACATCTGCATGTTTTTCAAATATTTCCTAGTTCTAAAATGGACAAAAACGAATGCCAAAAATGTGGTACATGTATGCGGTTCAAGACTGCATGTCTTATGACATGGTACTAAGTCAGTTAATAGCCCTTTCTTGAAGAATGTGAAATTTCCTCAATTTTCATCCAATTTACCAATGTTTTACTTAGACAAAGTTGGTTTGCTACTGATTTACTTTAACAACGCAAGTATACATGTATATGTCCCCCTTAATATTACATGTGACTGCCAAATCATGTGATTGTTATTCCGATACTTGTATCTCAGAACCGACATATATTGATGTAAAATTATCGCAAGATAGTCGGGATGCTTTAAGAATTTTATATTTACCAAAATATGTTTGTATGCTGTATTTAAATAATGTAGACAATATATTATCAGAAACATCAGGTATAAAGAAAGTTCCTGTAGATTATCAATGTTGTCATTATGGTCTTCAGTGTATATGATCATGTCATTCAATTAGGTTGAAATTGTATGTGTAGTTCAATTTCCCTTACCTGCGATAAATGATCCATTCCTTTGGGTTACTATATAATTATCATTGTGTTTGTGGGACTATAAAGGAATTATTGCCTGCATTATTATTGTATGGAACCTGGCTCAGGGTTGATCATGCCCACCCTCAACAATGTAGCTCAACTGGTTAGAGTAAATAGTGTCAATCGTTCAGAGGTCTGGGGTTCAAATCCCAGTTTGGCCGTGCAATTTTCCTCTCCTGTTACATTATACTCTACGTAAGTCCATAAAGATGTAGAGGAAATGATTTTCTACATATACTTTGGACATGTCAATACATCAAAATATTGCAACCTTATTAAAATCAATCTTAATACCTATCCTCTAATTATGTGAGAGTATTGTAGAGGAAATGATTTTAATTATATTGAAAATATTGGGATAAGTTAGTTCTATTTTGCTTTTATTACCAGTATAATTATTCATTATTCATCATGTGCCAATATCTAAATAAATCATTCCTCAGAATAGAAATTGTTCCTTGTTTTTCATCTTCCATTAATTGTTACATAGATTTAATGAACAAATTTGTACATGCAGCATGTACCATAGGTTAAATGAACAAAGTTGACCCCTGTGACCTTGAACATAATCAAGGTCGTTCACTTGAATAAACTTGGTAGTTCTTAATCCCAGCATGCTACTGACAGATCAGATATCAACATTCTAGGCCATATGGTTATGCAGAAGAAGTTGTTTAAAGATTTTAACGTATTTGACCCCTGTGACTTTGAATATAATTCAAGGTCATTCATTTGAACAAACTTGATAGACCTTCATCCCATCATGTTACAGGCCAAATATCATCATACTGCGACTTTTGGTTATTCAGATGAAGTTGTTTTACGATTTTGAACATATTTGATCCTTTTGACCTTGAAAATAAATCAAGGTCATTCATTTGAACAAAATTGGTAGCGCTTCATTCTAGCATGCTACTGGCCAATTATCATCATCCTGGGCCTTTTGGTTATTCAGAAGAAGTTGTTTAAAGGTGTGTTTTTTTTAAACAAGTGAAGGTCGTTCATTTGAACAAACTTGGTAGCCCTTCACTCCAACAGGATACTGGTCAAATATCATCACACTGGGCATTTTGGTTATTCAGAAGAAGTTGTATAAAGCTTTAAACATATTTGACCCTTAATTGTGGCCTTGAATATAGGTAAAAAGGTTATCTCAGCATGCTACTGGCCAAATTTCATCACCATGGGCATTTGGGTTATTCAAAAGAAGTTGTTTAAAGTTTTTAACAAATTTGACCCCTGTGACCCTAAATATGAGTCAAGGTCATTCAATTGAACAAACTTGGTAGCCCTTATTCTAGCATGCTACTACCTAAGTATCACCATCATAGGACTTTCAGTTATTGAGAAGAAGTTGTTCAAAGGTTTTAAACATATTTCACCATTGTGACCTTGAATATTTGTCAAGGTCATTCATTTTAACAAACTTGGTAGCCCTTCATCCCAGCATGTTACATGCCAAATATCATAAACCTAGGCCTTTTGGTTATTCAGAAGAAGTTGTTTTAAGGCTTTAAACATATTTGACCCCTGTGACCTTGAATATATATAAAGGTCATTGATTTGAACAAACTTGTTAGCCCTTCATCCTAGCATGTTACTGGCCAAATATCATTATCCTAGTTCTCTTAGTTATTCAGAAGAAGTTGTTTAAAGATTTTTCAAGACAATTGACCCCTGTGACCTTGAAATGGATGAAGGTCATTTATTTGAAAAAACTTGGTAGCCCTTCATCCTCGTTTGCTTCTGGCCAAATATCATCCTAGGCCTTTTGGTTATTGAGAAGAAGTTGTTTAAAGTAAAATATTGACGCCGCACCATGGCATAAGCTCACTTGGCCCTTCCAGGGCCAGGTGAGCTAAAAACAAAACCGTTTTGGTGTCACTGAGGGAAAAGTATTTCAAATAATGGAGCAGAAACTATCAGCCAATCAGATGTATGATTGAAGGGATCAATTTTGATTGCTTTGACCTACGATAGAATGACCCTAAATAGTTTATAATTGTAGGTGTATAGTATATATCCCTTACAAATAAATCAAACCTCTTGCAGTGGTTACAAACATGTACTGTGAAGATTTGGAGTGGAAACTGTAAGCCAACTAAGATGTGACATTAAACACTGATGGTACGACTCCAAAAAGTACAACATGCTAGGTGTACAAATATAGATGAACCGAGTCATGGCATGGATACTAAGTAATCAGACAGGATGATTTGACATTGAATGATCTTGACCTGAAAGATATACTGATACTTGATGGTTGGATGGACAGTACAACGTGACGGTATTGTTTGATCTATTTTAAAATCAAATGCAGCAGTAACAGTAAAAGATTAATAACAAATCTAGATTACATCATTCAATCTTTTATTGATGGAATAATATAAACTTTTACAATGTACATTGTATATTCCAACAGAATACAATTTACTGTAACTAAAACACATGCAAACAAGAAATAATAGGCAAAAACCATTAATCCTTGAAATAATCAATGCAATCACAAGATGATCTTATTATAAAATTATATCCTGAATCAGCTATGTACATGTGTTTGGTAGTAAGCTGTTACAAGTGTACTCTCAAAGGTAGACATGAGTATAAATAATAGAACATTGATTTATTTCAGGTTCATTCATTTGAACAGGTTTGCATGATCACACCTATCACTTCTGCACAATGCCTCTTAAAGGTTATTTAGAAGAAAAGTAAACACATTTGGAAGGACAACGAACACTACTCCATAACATGAACTCCTCAGGCTATTTGTGCAGGATGAGCTAAAAATAGTTAACAGCAGTTTCAAATAGACCATTATTATAGTCATAGGTGTATACATGTACATGTATATACAGTTAATACTGCTGCTTATTGAAATTATTACAAATTGTCAAACCTGAATTAGTTTGGAAGTGTCTATCGATATCATAGAACTGAAAATTGTTACTTGTTCATGTTCTAATATAACAGACTTGTACAAAGTTAGCCCAAGTTTCCTCTGGCCCGTCACCAGACTAAGACATCTTAACAGGTAGATGTCTGGTGTGGGCACACATAAATCTTTCTGTCAAAATGTCTAAGATTGAAGAATGGTGTCAGGGCCAGAGGAAACTCTGGCTAGAAACAAAGTTTTCTCTGTTTAATTTGAACTGGGTATGATAAAGATGTGTTGCATCAAGAAGAGTTTCAAATTGAGATAAAAATCATATCTTGTTCATGGGTACATCTTGATCCAGATCTATGTAGTGTTACAAACCTATGCAACAAAACTGTTTTTCAGTATAATTTCTTTCCCAAAGAGATTAAAAACAACATATAACAGTATAGAAGTTCAAACTTAATTGTTGATCATCTTACACACATGCATGCATACATTATGTACCTGAGTATATTTCACCATACCCTGATCAGTTTATAACAATTCAAACAGCATAAAATCAATTGTGTTTAAAAGATACACAAACGAGATATCTACACAAAGAAGCATAAAATTCCTTCTTTTTATCACAAGTTTTTAAAGTTTCATCATGATACAATTTTTTCTTGATCCCCATGTCAGAATAACAGCCACTTTTTCCTCTAGTTTGGAATTTCATCCTTACTTTAAATTCACACATCTTATTCTTAAACATCAACTGTATATTCATTGTAGCCAAATGTGACCTTTTAATTTGTATCAAAATTGTACAACATTTTTAGCAATTTGGGATGAGTTTTATGGACTGATTTTGATTGGTGCCCTCATATTATCAGATGTCATTTTACTATAAAGTCTATCTCATGATCACCTGTGCCTATATATACAAGGCATCACAGCTCTGAAGAATACATGTATATACTTACAAAAGTACAGATTTGTTATCATAGTCTACATGTACCTGTCAGTGTACTGGCCGCCTTTGATTCTGCTGATGGGCATCCTATATATCACAGGTACAATGTATCTATACATTGTGTATAGCAAGGCAATCCACTCACGCATCACTTTCATCACTCTCATCCGTATCTCTCTCCTCTTCCTCCTCTTCGAGCTCCTCTTCCTCTGATTCACCCTCTTCACTGTCCTCCCCAAAGAAGTATGGGTAGTCATCACTGGATATATACCCGTATACTTCTTCCTCCTCGCCAAACTCTTCTCCCAACTCCTGCCACTTCATGTCCCAGTTCCCTATAAAGTCTGGGTTTTCGATGTCCCTGTGACATACCCAGTTAACATTGAAACAGATGATACCTTCATTCTCCCAACATTCTCTCTCCGCACCTGAAAAACTGTGTAAATAACCACTAAAATTAGCAGGAGGTTCTAACGTAACGTCTGGGGGTTCTGTACTCCCAAATGGTCCAAGTCTCCTTCCAAGATTGGTGACAAATTCTAAACAATTTATCATCATATATTGAGTCCTTAATTTAACTTGTACGATCACCTCTCCCTTTTCTAATTCTACCTCACAAACATCAGTCACTTCTGACGAGTCCTTAGGAAGGCCATGGTGATGCCAGAAGCTATCAAACACCTCCATACCCACAATCACATTTTCTTTCTGACTCTCATTAAAACGTGCTACAATGACAATCTTGGAAATCTGTGACCGTTCATTTGATGTCTCGCAGGTTCCATCATTGAAGTATCCTTTAGAAAAGTTACTGCAATCAGATTTACCACTGTATTTCTTGCTGTCAGGAATGATCTTGGTGTTATCCTGGTCTCGTCTTACCACCCAGTGAAGCGGAGGAGATCTGCAGTTTTTTATAGACATCAACAGAGCCTTATTAGTGACATCTTTATGATCCAGGAGGTATTTCCTAACAGTATCGAGCTTCTCCTCCAAGAGAATATCTGAGTTATTCTCTAAATGTTTTTCCCAATCACAGTAATCAATGTAGATCAGTCGGGCTGCTACAACCAGAGAGTAGATTTGTTCTCCATTCAGTTTTGTCTCCTCGTTCTGCCCGGAAATGTAACAAATTGCTGCCTCAAGTATGGCCAATTCATTAAGGTCATTGGGAAGGGGGTAGCCGCCACGAAACACGATCAAATTATCTTTACTCAACAACTCAAGAACACAGTCATAGGGAATGGCCGAGAACTCCTCCATCCGGCTAGCTTCTTCCAGATGCCGACCAATCAGTTTTATACATCTGTTTTTGATCTTTTCTAAATAGAATTTGGCAGCAAATGATAGCATGGAAACACAGTTACTTCTGTCAACACTTTTGAGTAACAATCTCTGACATGACTCCTTTACAAACTCGACCTGAAGATAGTCAGCCACAATGAACAGACTCTGTACATTGTTACCAGTGACCTCGACTGACCCTGTGTAGGCAAACTGGAGCAAAAGTTCCAGACTGGAAAAGTCTACATCATGTAGTACCACGTCAGATTTGTTCTTGGCGTCCATGTGAAGGAGGACCTTGAAGTACTCGGAGAGGGATGCTAGCACATTCTTGTGAGCTTTGACACTCTTCTCACCAACATGGAGAGTGATATCACAGAACTCCTCCTCTCGCCAAGACTTGTGTAGGGCCTTCAGCACAGCTCGGGGATACCCCGGGCTGGACACCAATTTGGAAACAGTTGAATCCAAGCCAGAATCGAATGATTTTGCTTCCATTTCTGATCATTAAGACGGGTATCTTGTTCAGCTAAAAAGAAACAAAATAAGATCTGCAATAAATTAATGTCACCAATATATCGTTAGTACAATGTTTATCATTAACCTTAACTAATTACAACATTCTTTGAATAATCCTACAAACTTACATGTCTTTAATTTATGTGTTATAAATAACAAATGGCTTCTTTTTCAAATTAAACTTGGTCCTATAATTTTGCATAGTTGTAAGGAATAAATGAAAATGATGGGCCCATTTTATGCTGCAACTGCATACTTGTAGCGGAACTGGACTGGCATAAACTTGACAACTTTTTGAAATTTTCATGGGGGAGATTCTGCATTTTGAAAATTAAAACATAAATCAAATGTGTGTATGTACCCCCTAGAGAGGAAATAACCCTTGAAAATGACATATTTTGAGTTGTTCTTTCGAATGAAATCAGGAGATCTTAGAATACAGAAATAGTTTAGCAAATTCATTGGTTGAAAATACTAAATTTAAGGGTCCAAAACGGGAGTATCCCTCCTAATAGGGAGAGTTGGCAAGTACAAGTACTAGTATATATATGCAATTGATATTAGTACAGTGTAATTTCTTAAATTAATTACATTCATTCAATTACTTGTACTACTGTATCTATAAGGATTAAAGGAAAGCTGAAAACCCTGATAATGGCTGATATTCAATCTTAATAAAAAAAAAATCTGTAAAATCACAGCTAGGAATCTGAAATTTTACGGGTATAGCGGTACCAGGGATGACACGTATACTTTGTAAGTTTCTGGTAATTATAAAACAACATAAAACTTTGATCATACAAAAATCGCTGTTAATAATTGCTCCAAAGCGATCTCCCTAAAACTATGTACGTGCACCGACTTGCATTGTATTTTTATTTACATCTAATTCCGTGCTACATGATGCATATATTTGTAACGGAACTGGATTGGATCAATCATTCCGATGGTCCGGGGTTCAAACCCCAGCCTGGCCGTGCATTTTCCCTCTCCTGTTACAGTGGTGCCAGCTCACTCAGGTCACAGTGACCAACTCTTGTTTCAAGCATTCTGTGTACTGTAACAAGGGGATAACCGAACCCGGGTTGTAAATACATGAAGTTGTGTATTCTGGGGGCGAAGACCAAGAAAAAGGAGGTAGGAATGTAGCGGAACTGGACTGGCATAAACTTGCCAATTTTTTGAAATTTCCATGGGGGAGATCAAAGGTGTTTGAAATTCTGACTGTACTTGAGATACATGCATGTATATATCATATAAAAAAAACATATACAAATAATGGTATTACTACTTTTTTTATACAATTTTTTTTAATGATATATATCTCAATTTACAGTCAGTAGAAGTCCCCGTCCATCATCTCCTACAACAGACTAGCAGTGGGACTAGGAGTTCCCAAGCCAACAACATCAGGCAAATAAGCACCAGAGTCAACGCATATAAACATTTATTCGTCCCTGCTATAATCAAGATGTGGAACTCAATACCATCAGATATCAGAGGACTACCAACAGTAGACAGTTTCCGGCACCACATACAGACCATTGATGTGGCCGGACTCAACTCATCCCCAGGCACTAGACAGGACTCCGGACTTGTACATTGTAAATACCAGATTTTAGATGTACATACAGACAGATGTAAATAGCAAATTGTTTAGCTGTATGGCCAATAAGCGCCGGAGAGCCTGGAGTAGTGACACTCATCTGATGAGTCAACTCCATAACGGGAAGAAGAAGAAGAAGAGTATTTCAAACACCTTTGGCTTTGGGTAGATTCTGCATGCTCAAAATTAAAATATAAATAAAATGTGTGGGATACCCCCTAGAGACCAAATTAAACTTTAAAATGGCATATTTTGAGTTTTTCTTAGTATGCAATCAATAGATCTTAGAATATAGGAACAAGGAAGCGTATATGTTGTTTTTATCATATAAAAACCGAACCTAATGAATTCACTGGTTGAAAACACTCAATTTAAGGGTTCAAAATCGGGAATTCGAATCTCCCTCCTAAATAGGGAGGGTTAACGTTGGCAAGTATGGACTGGGTCGATCGTCACCGACCAGGGTCGTTTTCGTTTAAACGTGTCAGACCGGTCGGACCGCTGTTGTTCGTTTATTAAATAAAGTTGGACCTAGTATTCCGATGCTGCTTTCAGGCGAGCCATGGCAAAGCATTGCAAGGCCTGCATAAACATGTGCAGGTCCGCCAGGATTTATACCCGAAATTGTTACATTTATAAACGGCCAAACCGGTTGTTCCGCAAAAATGACCAGGCCCCTGATAGCCCAATCGAATTGGTAGAGCGTCCGTCTATAGTTGGGAGGGTCCCGGGTTCGAACCCCCGGCCCTGGCCGTGTATTTTTCCTCGCCTGTTACATATTAATTTGTGGTAAGGTGTATTGGTAGACGAGGCTAGTACCAGTGTTTTACATACAATTTTATGTAGTTACATGAATTTGAATGCAATCTTTGCGAGAAGAAAAGAGAGATCTCAAAAATTGCAGTAGTATTTACTTACTCGTCTTAGAACGGCATTCGAGTCCGACATACACGCGGGAAAATGTGGAACTCTTTATTGTGTAGAGGTATAATTGCGTTGCTACTAATTACAGCCCGATAGAGCCCGGCACAGCCCGGTAGTGATATATTGACCGCCCGGGCGTTTGTTTCCACTTACATATACCATTACAACTGTATGTTTTGCATTATTTGTAACAATATGAATGCAATGATCAAGAAGTTGTGAACAAATCATTAAATTTGATCGAATTATGGTTACTTGAAATGAGTAACATATGGCAACAACCCGCTGGAGAAGAGCCAGACCATTGTTATTTGCAATACAAACACCGCCCGGGCTTTCACGTGTGTAGTAAACTGTATTGACACAACTTATTCGTATAGCTTTAGGAACGAAAAACACAAAACTGAAGAAATATCAAAGTATATGTTCATAATTAGCCAAGTTATTGTAATTTGAAGTTAACTAACACTGCAGGGCTTGTCATTTCAATATTAGGACTGCCCGGGCGCTACCCTGTAAAGTTAAGTACTTCACTCGGGTTAATCAATGAATGAGAAATAAAACATAAAAGACAGTGTGAAAATATCTCCATTGTAAAAAGATTTTGCTGATCTAACTTTAGATACTTCGCTACGTATACATTACGCTGAAGCTCATATCACGCGTGTTATTTGCAGCATCGGGACCGCCCTGGCTTTCATCTTTATCGTTAGGTCAATTAATTAAAACTCTTTATTTGTTAAGATGTGTGTGTAACCACGGACTTGGATATCTAATCCACAGACTAATTCCGTGGTGTAACTAACACAGTGCTGACAAAAATGTTAGAATACATTGTATGTTAATTATTGGCGGAGTTACGGTGTTTTGAAATTATAAGTTCCTCAACCATACGTATACGCTACAAAGAGGTAATTAGATGTACTTTCTGAAAATATATGATATATGTCTTTAAAAAAGGTTCTGCAAAAATCGTGTGTAGCAATTTTATGCAAAGTGATCCGCTACTGCCGTAACAACTGTACTTGTTATTTATAATATCGGGAGCGCCCGAGCCTTCAACTTACCATTAACTAGACTTAACAAGAAAAAATGAAATCGTTCAGTTGCCGGTGTATGTTTTGAAATTAGTTACTTCTCATCCGTACGATTAAGCTGAAATCATGAGTATTGTTTGTAATATCGGGTTCGCCCGGGCATTCACCAGATTCATTATTTGCTCAACAAACACTCTTCTGTTGTTCATTAACTCAATTCTGAAAAATTGTGGGATATTAAAAATTGGCATAGTTATGATATTTTTAAATTAGTTACTTCTCAAACATACGCTATTATACAAAGCTGAAAGCCCATTTCAAATCCATGTAATTCAGTCAATTTTCAACATCATTTCATAGTTTCTTGAACTAAGTAATCTTTACACAGTCTTCTTCATGTTAGGCTAGGGGGACAAGGGGTACCGACCTAGGTAAAAGCCCGGGCTGTCGGGGCGACATGAACAAAGTAACGGCTACCGTGCCGGCTCCAGCCAAATAACCAATTTTAATTCTACCCATTTCAAATCGATGTGATTCAGTCAATTTTCAACATAATTTCATAATTTCTTGAACTAAGTTCTCTTTACACAGTCAAATTTCAAATGTTTTTTCTACTTCTTGTTAGGCTAGGGGGTACTGCCCCAGGTAAAAGCCCGGGACATTTGATAAATCCTAAAAAATAATATTAAAATGAGACATCTTATATATAGTATATGAGATGCATAAAAGATATCTCATTTAATTTCTTTACACGAATAAAATAGTTTACATAATCTCATGAAAACAGTTCAAGTTGGCTTGTCATACCAATTACCACTTTGTAAGATGCTCCAGGGATGCCCTGGATGTTCTAATATCTTGTCATGCGGTTTATGGTGTAACACTGTGTGTGAACAAGAAGGGGGTATCTCAATATTTGTAAAGTGAATCCTTGAAATCATATGTTAGCATTTGTTCTGTGTCTCACGACACATTTGTATGCCTTAAACTTGACAAACATCTCTCTGTATGTGAGAAAGATGTCTTTATTTGCTCATTGTATATTCCGCCTGATCGAGCGGCGTATTACAGGCTTTTCAACAGAGATTTATCTTATGATCTTGAAAATGAAATAGCTGTATTCTCTCTGGAAGGCAAAGTTTTTTTTAGTTGGTGACTTTAATGGAAGATGTTCAAATTTAAAGATTTTTTGGATCAGGATGACGCGAGTAAGGATATTTTTGATAATCTATCTGATATATATATTATATATACTTACCAAACTGATGTACATTTACCCTCACGAGTGTGTCCCGATAGGGTAATGAACTGGTCTGAAGTTGCTACACTTATGTGTATACTCCGACATACGGATCTGAAATGGTAGACATTCTGATGGCTTCGCTAACGGACGTGGTCCTACGGGTTGTAGCGTATAGTAGATTGCATATAGTAACAACGCCTGATGTTTATCAGTATGACTGCATTTGTAACTTGCGGGTTCAATACATTTTCTGACCACGCACCTCTACATTTTGTACTCAGTTGTAAGCTAATTATTAGTATCAGTGATCAGGACTCAACAAATGTACACACGTATAGTACACATGCTATTCTTCGCTGGGACACAGACAATGCTGAAGATAGTATTAGGGCGATTTTTGATAATATCGATTACATTAACATTCGTGTTGAAGAGAACGATTTATCGACTGATAACCGGTATTGAGAGGTGTTTTACCTCTTTGTAAATATTGTAAAAACCCTTATGTTATCTTTTCATTCAACTACGCAATGTAATAGAGAGTTTACATCAGCCCCCCCCCCCCCCCCCCCCCCCCCCCGCCCCCTCTATAGGCAAGGGGGTCAACCTAATATATCATGTGACAAGCCTTGATTTAACCAGTGTAAAATGTTGCAAAGGCGATATACGTGAATGCTTTGAAAATATTTAATTATTCCTCATCTCGAGAAAATCATGACATACTTATTCATGTAAGAGTTTGTATAAGTCTACTGGGCGACAATAAATAAAGCGATCATATTTGAAAGCACAAGGTACTATTATGGATTTGTTGAGAGTGAGCAACCCTTCATTTTTTTCATCATTGTGTTAGTTACACACACATCTTAACAAAAGCAGATTTTAATTGACCTAATTCACCATAAAGATGAAAGCCTGGGCGGTCCCGATGCTGTAACTTGAATAACATGCGTGATATGAGCTTCAGCGTAATGTAGCGAAGTATCTCAAGTTAGATCAGCATAAATCTTTTTACGATGAAGTTATGTTCACACTGTCTTTCATATTATATTTCTTAATCATTTATGAACCCGAGTAAGATACTTTTAATAAATTAACTTTACAGAGTTATGCCCGAGCAGTCATAATTAATATTGTAAATAATACGTCCTGCAGTGTTCCAAATTACAATAACTTGGCCAATTATGAACATATTTTGATGTTATATTCAGTTTTGTATTTTTCGTTTCTAAACTTATAAGAATGACGTATTTTAGTCCAGCTTACCAATTACCGAACGGAAGCCCGGGCGGTGTTTGTTTAAGGATCAACTTGAATATATTTATTATGTTAAAAATATATTCAAGTTAATCCTTATAATTTAATCTACTTTACACAATTCCTTGAGAAATCAAGTTTTATTGATGGACTGTTTTCTCTTAGAAATTATTACGCCGCTGTATCAGGCAATCAAAATTTAAGCGACGTTACAAACGGCGACGTCATTTTTTTACGTTATGGGCTGATAACATATTTTTTAGGCCAATGAAAAGGTTTGTTACATGCGAGATTAAATCATATTCAAATAACAAACGTCTGGCTCTTCTCCAGCGGGTTGTTGCGACGTTACTGATTTCAAATAGTCATAACTCGCTCAAATGTTAAGAATTTTACACAACTTCTTGATCATTACATTCATATTATTACAAACAGTGCAAAATATAAAGATGTTATGGTGTATACGTGGAGACAAACGCCCGGGCGGTCAATATATCACTAGACACTACCGGGCTGTCCCGGGTTGTAACCTGGTCGACACGGACTGTACCGGGCTGTAACTAGTAGCACCCGTGTAATTGGTCTGCAAACCAAAACAAAAAATATGGCCGCCGTGGCCTGGGTCATTCTCCAGCTGTTTCTGTTTTTCGTGAAACACAGCAAACGAAACCCTTTTTGGGCGCTCGTAAATGTGTGCATTGTGCTTCTGGCTCCAGCTCTTGCAGCGTCAGATAGTTCCGCTTCAATCGAAGTGAGCATTTACGACACACTAAGTCACCAACCTAAGCTGTCAAAATCTGACAGTTCGTCAGCTGTATCTGACGTGGTTGCGGAAAATATTCAGGGTAAATTTGCGTTTATCGGACAGAAGAAACAGGCTGATGGCAGGCTTCATATGGTGAGACTTTAATTTCTTCAAGCTAGCTCCTTTTTTAAAAATATTATAAAAGGCTGAACAGCTGTTGAACATAGGAATTTAACGTGTATGGTCAGTTTTAGCTGACTAAAGTACAACCTGCCGATTGAGCTATATATATATATATATATAGTTATAAAGACCTTATAGCTATATTCACCTATAAAATATAAATTATCTGATTATAGCTGTATTGACCTATATTTTCTCATATTTCAATTTTCATTAGATTAAAGCTAAGTCGCATAAAACAATAAGGTTTACGGTAATGTTGACTACAAAAAGAATATATATACAGTTAGATGTTTATTTTCATTTTTCATAAATGTAAAATATTTCCGAAATTTTTAAACAATTTTTACATATTTTCTATAAACAATAAATATATTTAATGTCTTTTGTCAATCTTATGATAAAATCTTCTTTTAATAGCGACTTTGTTTCGTTTTCCTTAAAAAAAGAAAATCACATAAAAATAGCCCAACAGACCTATTTCAGATATAGAGCTATTATAGGTCTTTACAGCTATATAGCTCAATTGGCAGAGTGTACTGGACCTGTTTAGCTGTAGTTGACCAGTTTATGTAAACACGCTAGTGTAATAATTAATTGGTGCACGTGTTGGATCATATTCTGATGTGGTGCATAATCCAGTATATCCTGCTACCGTACGTTACATTTTCAGGTACCAAATGCAATAAAAAGTTGTCATGTGCTGTACTGAGTACGGTTCCATTGGTTTGAAAACTGACAAATATAATAACATAATACTGTTAATTATACAGATATTAAATAAGTGTTTTCACCCTTTAGCTGTCATCAGATTGCGGAGAGGATGATGAGAAGGAGTATGCTCGTCTCCCAAGAGATTGGATAGCTGTGTTTCACTACTCGGAGAGGAGTGTTACCTCTGACAACGCAACAAGGGGATGTCCTTCCGTCATAGATAGGGTTAGTACTAGACTAATATTAATGCTCGGCTTCCTTGACAATGCAATATATATATAAAAAATGTCTCGTCGTCAGAAGCTACGTTATCGCAGCTAAGACAGGGTATGTCCTTCAAATGTATACATCCCACATAAACAATAAAACATTTGGTAAAATTGACATGGTGATACAGAAATTTGAATTTGCACGAAATTGTTAATTAGACAAAAAAATATCTGCATAGTTTACATTTGTGTGATTTAGATTGAATTGCCATGGCGTCTGTCTGTCATCCGTCGCCCGTCGTCAATATTTTACTTTAAACAACTTCTTATTCTTAATAACCGCAAGGCCGAGGGTGATGATATTTGGCCAGAAGCAAACTGGGATGAAGGGCTACCAAGTTTGTTAAAATAAATGACCTTCACCTATATTCAAGGTCACAGGGGTCAAATATGTTAAAAACTTTAAACAACTTCTTCTCAATAACCGAAAAGCCCAGGGTGATGATATTTGGCCAGTACCATGCTAGGAGGAAGGGCTACCAAGTTTGTTTAAATAAATGACCTTCACTCATATGCATGGTCACAGGGGTCAAATGTCTTAAAAGTTTTTAAACAACTTCTTCTAAATAACCAAAAAGACCAATATGGTGATATTTGGCCAGAAGCATGCTGGGATGAAGGGCTACCAAGTTTGTTTAAATAAATAACCTTCACTAGGATTCAAGGTCACAGGGGTCAAATGTCTAAAAAAAACATTAAACAACTTCTAAATAACCAAGATGCCCAGGATGTTGATATTTGGTCAGTAGCAGACTAGAATGAAGGGCTACAAATTTTGTTTAAATAAATGACCTTGACTTATATTCAAGGTCACAGGGGTCAAATATGTTTAAAACTTTTAAACAACTTCTGCATAACCAAAAGGTGCAGGATAATGATATTTGGTCTATAACATGATGATATGAAGGGCTACCAAGTTTGTTCAAATGAATGACCTTGAAATATATGCAAAGTCACAGGGGTCAAATATGTTTAAAATCTTTAAATGACCTCTTCTGAATAACAAAATACCCAGGATGTTAATATTTGGTCAGTAGCAGACTTAGATGAAGGGCTACAAAGTTTGTTGAAATGAATGACCTTGACTTATATTTCAGTTCACAGGGGTCAAATATGTTTGAAACTTTTAAACAACTTCTTCTGAATAACCAAAAGGTGCATGATGTTGATATTTAACAAGTAGCATGCTTGGATGAAGGGCTATCAAGCTTTTAATTTAAATAACCTTGACCCACTTTCAAGGTCACAGGTGTAAACCTCTAAATGACCTTATCTTAATAAACAAAGGGATAGGGTGGTGATATTTTGCAAGTTGCATCCTGAGATGAAGGGCTACAAAATGTGTTCAACGTAATGACCTTATTGGACTTTTAAGGTCACAGGGGTGAAATGGTTTTTAAATCCTTTTTTAGAATGACTTATAGTCATAAATGCTGATAGTTTGCCTGTAGCTTTATTTGAGATCAGTTTTAAGCTTAGATGTGTGAGATTTAGACCAGGTGAGCGATGCAGGCCCATTGGGCCTCTTGTTGAAATGCCAACTATGACAGTAACGTTAAATATGTTTTTCGTTTTCTTTGAAAGTAATCATAGCAATTACCAGTGTAAAAGATCCACATTTGTGTATTATACTAACATTGATGCTTGTTCATGAAATAATAAATTGTGTTTTCCTTAAAAGATGCAAAAGGCTTTGATGTTTGGAGCTTCAGCAATTATCATCTTAACTTTGAACCCACGAATCATTAAAGAGGTATGTGTATGTAGTAATAATCATAATCTTTAATGAATTAGATTAATGGTCTCAGTTATAAGAGAAGACTTTAGAATGTTAGAATGTTACACCTTAAGGATCCCTGTCCCACTACACTGTTTTTTTTCCCTAGTACTTGTATAACCTTAACTTCCGTTAGGATATAACTGTAGAACAGTTGGGACAGGACGCTGTACACTTCCCTTGACAAGGTAGCTCAATACGTTAGTGATAGTACAGTATAACAGTTTTTCTGTCCTGATCTAGCCCCACTGAACTTTTACACTCAGAACCCTGTAGTTTGATTAAATTTTGTATATTTCATCTTTGTTATTCCTCTTAAAAGTCTGGTAGTGTATGGCTTTCTTTTCAGTAATGATTTCTCAAAGCTATAGCAATGCCAGAAAAAAAAGAAAAAAAACCCCAACTTAGTTACATGTTTGTTTCTGTGGTGTATATATGTTCAACAGAAAATCATATCTATAAAGACTCATGGGTAAAAGTATAGTTGCCTGTAGTGACAGCTTTGTCTGCTGACATTCACTTGACAAGGAAATATGCGATGCTGTGCCAATAAACTGCCAATGTTAAAAAAATATTACAGAACATTGCTTTGACTAATATCCTCAAACTAAAACAATTTTTAGTGTGCAGTGATAAACTTTTCAAAATAAATCTGTTGTATTTAATTATTGATTCTGTCAAAGAAGCTATGCAACTCAGTATAATATATCTACTTAGCGGTACATATTTTCTAAGCAATATGAACTAGCATACTGCGCTTCTTTTTCCAGAAAAAAGTTGTCTGTCTTGACAAGTGGTAATTAAGGTTCCTGAGGTTCTTTATTGACTGTATCTTAATGCTTCTTCTGTTTCATTGTTTATATTTTTTACTTGATTCATATGTTTTATCTTTGAAAAGATAATATGCTCTCTTTTCTTTTAATTGTTAGCTGATATGACCTATTGTGTGATCTGATGTACTGTCAGCTTACATATGACTGGTCTGTTTATTGTGCTGTACTGTAAGTTGACATAAACCCTTTTATGTTATATCATGTGATCTGATGTATTGCCAGCTTACATATGACTGGTCTGTACATTGTGCTGTACTGTAAGTTGACATAAACCCTGTATGTTATATTATGTGATCTGATGTATTGCCAGCTTACATATGACTGGTCTGTACATTGTGCTGTACTGTAAGTTGACATAAACCCTGTATGTTATATTATGTGATCTGATGTATTGCCAGCTTACATATGACTGGTCTGTACATTGTGCTGTACTGTAAGTTGACATAAACCCTGTATGTTATATTATGTGATCTGATGTATTGCCAGCTTACATATGACTGGTCTGTACATTGTGCTGTACTGTAAGTTGACATAAACCCTGTATGTTATATTATGTGATCTGATGTATTGCCAGCTTACATATGACTGGTCTGTACATTGTGCTGTACTGTAAGTTGACATAAACCCTGTATGTTATATTATGTGATCTGATGTATTGCCAGCTTACATATGACTGGTCTGTACATTGTGCTGTACTGTAAGTTGACATAAACCCTGTATGTTATATTATGTGATCTGATGTATTGCCAGCTTACATATGACTGGTCTGTACATTGTGCTGTACTGTAAGTTGACATAAACCCTGTATGTTATATTATGTGATCTGATGTATTGCCAGCTTACATATGACTGGTCTGTACATTGTGCTGTACTGTAAGTTGACATAAACCCTGTATGTTATATTATGTGATCTGATGTATTGCCAGCTTACATATGACTGGTCTGTACATTGTGCTGTACTGTAAGTTGACATAAACCCTGTATGTTATATTATGTGATCTGATGTATTGCCAGCTTACATATGACTGGTCTGTACATTGTGCTGTACTGTAAGTTGACATAAACCCTGTATGTTATATTATGTGATCTGATGTATTGCCAGCTTACATATGACTGGTCTGTACATTGTGCTGTACTGTAAGTTGACATAAACCCTGTATGTTATATTATGTGATCTGATGTATTGCCAGCTTACATATGACTGGTCTGTACATTGTGCTGTACTGTAAGTTGACATAAACCCTGTATGTTATATTATGTGATCTGATGTATTGCCAGCTTACATATGACTGGTCTGTACATTGTGCTGTACTGTAAGTTGACATAAACCCTGTATGTTATATTATGTGATCTGATGTATTGCCAGCTTACATATGACTGGTCTGTACATTGTGCTGTACTGTAAGTTGACATAAACCCTGTATGTTATATTATGTGATCTGATGTATTGCCAGCTTACATATGACTGGTCTGTACATTGTGCTGTACTGTAAGTTGACATAAACCCTGTATGTTATATTATGTGATCTGATGTATTGCCAGCTTACATATGACTGGTCTGTACATTGTGCTGTACTGTAAGTTGACATAAACCCTGTATGTTATATTATGTGATCTGATGTATTGCCAGCTTACATATGACTGGTCTGTACATTGTGCTGTACTGTAAGTTGACATAAACCCTGTATGTTATATTATGTGATCTGATGTATTGCCAGCTTACATATGACTGGTCTGTACATTGTGCTGTACTGTAAGTTGACATAAACCCTGTATGTTATATTATGTGATCTGATGTATTGCCAGCTTACATATGACTGGTCTGTACATTGTGCTGTACTGTAAGTTGACATAAACCCTGTATGTTATATTATGTGATCTGATGTATTGCCAGCTTACATATGACTGGTCTGTACATTGTGCTGTACTGTAAGTTGACATAAACCCTGTATGTTATATTATGTGATCTGATGTATTGCCAGCTTACATATGACTGGTCTGTACATTGTGCTGTACTGTAAGTTGACATAAACCCTGTATGTTATATTATGTGATCTGATGTATTGCCAGCTTACATATGACTGGTCTGTACATTGTGCTGTACTGTAAGTTGACATAAACCCTGTATGTTATATTATGTGATCTGATGTATTGCCAGCTGGAGATGAAGAAACTGCTGGCCTACCCTGTGGTAGTGGTTGAGTCAGTTGACAACATCACTAACTTTGTGGCAGTATTGACGAGGTAATTGATCAGCATAATATTATAATTTGCTATAAAATAATATATAAATTGATCAGCATAATATTATAATTTGCTATAAAATAATATATATATATAACTTTTGAATTCTATAATTGGAAATAACAAAAATAAAAAATACAATAAATAAAAAATAATAATTATGCAGTGTATGTTAATTAGATTACAGGGTATATTTCAGTTTCACCATTATACATCTTTAATTTATGCTTAATAGGGTGTTGAGGCTGATATTAGCTTTTAGCTCACCTCGTCAGAAAGACCAACATGGACTTATGATATGCCATATGTACCACAATATCTATTAACTGTCTGCAACAATTTTTAAAAGGCCAACTTCTCTTGAAAAACTTATCAGATATCATCCAAATTTGGCATGAAGCACTTTGGGAGTCAGTTGTTATAAAACAGATTTATTCCTCCCTGTGATTTGATTTGATCTACTTTGGTTTGGCTGCCCTTTGGGGTTAGGAGTGGGATACAAAAGGAGAAATACAGATAAATCTTCCCCTGCTCCTAATTATATGCTTGTTGAGATATGATTGAGATTTGCAGGAAGCATCCATTTGGCATAAATCAAATCTTGTAAAAGAAAAGGCAGCATTCCCCACTTCAACTCTTAGACTTTCATTTTATTTTCTCCTAGCTTTCATGTTGATGTTATTATAATGTTCAAGGTTCAGTCACAGCTGCACAGGGGTTTGTTACAAATGTCTGATATACACATGGGTCACAGTACACCTAAACATATCAGTATAGAGCATATACATGTATTTCAGACATTTGTGATAAATCCTGTTTATACCTGGTACTTGTTGTAACTACATAATGTAACTTCTATCAGAACTGTTGGTTTTTAAGTGTACTTGGTATTCCAGCATTTACTCAATTATAACAGGCTATCTGTCAAAATGTCCAAGTCTGGTGTCGGGGCCAGAGGAAACTCGGGCTATTGTTATTCCAGCATTTACTCACTTATAACAGGCTGTCTGATATCTGTATCACGTGTTGGGTGAACTTTTACAGCAAGGTGAAGACCCGGGCCAGGGTGACCTACAACACAGCCCTAGCTTATTGGCAGGTAATATTATTTACACACTAAGATGATTTTCTTATCAAAAGACAAGATCTTGTATAAATTTCACATGTNGGGGGGGGGGGGGGGGGGGGGTAAAAATATAAGGGACAACGTTTTTGAAGACAACTGATCAATTATTTTGATAATGATTATATAAATGCCTTTAGATTGTGTTCCGCTTTGTACACATATTACTAGAAAATCTTTAACCAAATTGATACAACTTAGCAAATTCATGTGTACCAAAGTTGACAGAAACATTGTTTTTTGACAGTGAAAGTGAAATGACAGACTTAATGGGTTTTCCCATATCTGCTAATTTAAGAAAATTAACTAAAATTAAGAAAAAAGACATTAACACTCCCGATGTTTGAATGCATGACTAAATATAATTAAATTAATAGTTTGAAAAAAAATAATTCAGGATAACCTCTCTTCCTATCTAGGTAATCATTGATGAGGAAGAGGATTGATAAGACATTAACTCATATTGTTTTATTTATTTATAACAAAATGTTGTTTATCGTAGAAATTCCCCACACTGACTCTGTGGGCCACATGCGGCCGCCCTAATGGACGCAGCTTTCATGAGTGGGATGGAGTTATCTGCCTTGGCACAAAAGCAGAATCTGGAGACCAGGGCAAGGTTTGTGTATAATACTTCTTAGTCAAATAGACTGACATGAAAGAATTTTTACTTCAATTGGTGATTACTGTGTTTATAGTTTGAACTGTTTCATGGCAATAAAACAATCAAGGTTAAGTTTTGAACAGTATTAGTACTAGAGTCCGATGATGATAAGAAGTAATTATCTTCAGATCTGTGTCAGCTGTTTTGCAAGACACTGAATTATATTTTACAATCGCAATAATGTGACCATCAATAACAATCACCAAGTGATTTAAATGATTATTTAGATATTTAGATTAAGATTTCTGTTAAAAATACAAATTAAAATAATATGTAATTAGTTAAATGATAAGACAGACTGTTAATGATGCATATAAAACATTAATTGACACTTTGACAGACAACTGTCTGAAGCTTTTCAGATTTCATATTCTTTATTTAAGTTTAAGCTTAAATGGAAGTGTTATACATGACAGCTACAAATATTGTATGGAGTTAATTCCTGTGTGTTTTCCACCCAAGTTTAAATATCAACATATCAATTCCTGTCTGTTCTCTGCCTGAGTTGATCAACCATTTTATTCCTGTTTATTCTCCCCAGGCAGACCCAGCGCAGTTCTGGAACTTTTTCTACTCGGCAGCCTTTCTACTTCTGTTATTACTGGTAATGAAGGCACGCATGAGAGGTAGACACCTAAATGGGGCTGATGACATGGAGGTGTGTACCGCAATAAACCCCCCAAAAATGATATACAAAATGATTGAACCTGTAATTTCGTATAATTCTGAAGTTTCTTTACAAAATAAAAAGGATTTAAAAAAAATAAATCATATAGCATGTATAGTTCCAAGATTCATTCATGTTTTAGATTCGTAAAATGCAACTTGCATGTGTGAAATGAAATAATCACAGTTTTTATCAAAAACCCTAAAAATATGGTTAATTACTTACAAGTGTATTTGGCCAGAAATATTACAATTTCACATGCACTTTTGAAATAGAAGATTCGTGAGAATTCCTCTTTTTATATAACCATATTGTTATATAACCATTAAGGTATTAATTGATATATAATATTGAACAAAAATGTCACTTTGTACATATACGAGTATATAAATGTACATCACCTACAGATTGCCCTTAGGAAGCTAGCCCACCAAGCGCTGTCCAGAATGATGACAAGGAAATGGCATCGCAGTCGTCAGGACCAGGAAATATGTGCTATCTGTCTTGATTACTTTTCACCAAAACAGGTAAAAGTTTGCCACATCTAGCAGCAATAAAAGTCAAAACAAAAGCATTTGTATCAGCACCACTCCTCCATTGAACATTTGAAAATGGTTTGTGTGTGTCGGTAATTAAAATAACCATTGAATCGATATTGTTCTTAAACTGCTTGAAATCAGATCATTAACGACAGAGGTTAACGTGATCTGAACTTATGTGTGCTGTTTCAGTTTATACAGTATACAATTGAATGTTGGTTATTCCCCCAATGATAAACTTTTTTCAGGTAAATATGGTATAACCTAAAAAAAGACGAAAACAAAAGATGAAAAAGTCATTACATCGTAAAGTTTGACGTGGTAGTTCTAGCTTTTGTTCGGTTGAAGTTGCTCGGAAATGAATTTACAGCCTAATATTGTATTTTGTGCAAAAACTTGTCGTTTTTAACAGCTTCATGGATCTAAGCAAACTGCACAAATTTTTGGCATGTACTATAAAGCCTCATTAATAACCGTTCATCATTTCCTAACTATCTTATGATAAAGGTTGAACGCTAGGGATTTCTGAACTGTTACGTATTGTGTCATATATGTATTTACTCTTATTTACAGAAATTACGAGTTCTTCCATGTGGTCATGAGTTCCACACTAAATGTGTCGACCCGTGGCTTGTCAAAAACCGCACGTGTCCTCTTTGTAAACTTAACATTGTCGGTAAGTGTTGTAAATTACATGGACTTGATATACAGATAACACTAGTTGTTGGGTTTGTTAACAATGTTTCAAAAATACATAACCTGTACAAATAAGGTCCATTGTTGTTGGGTTTGGCCTAGCCTGGTGATGCACTAGAAAGCTCATTATTCTTTTAACTCATTCAACCCTGAAATGTTATGATGAACGTTTGAATTGGAAGAATTCAATTGTCTTCAGGGGTGAATGAATTAATCATTAATTGAGTAATGACAGAAAATTCTATTATCTGAGACTGGATGAAAGAGAAGAATCTTTAGAATAATTCATATCTTAACCTGATCAAAATTAAGATCATCATTTCAATTTGTAAAAAAACTTATTTAAGAATAATTAAATAAATTTGACCTATTTTTTAAGATCACAGGGGTCAAATATGTTAAAAAATCGAACTACTTCTTCTACAGAACTTCTATACCAAGAGTCATGATATTTGTTCTGTTACATGATGGAGAAGAAGACTATTTGTTTAATGAAGACCTTGACCTGTTTTCCAGGTTACAGGTGTCGGATATATGTTAAAAATAACAGAAGTAAACCAGGTGAGCTATTAGGTCTCTTGGATCTTGTACTATATAGAGTGAAATGACAAGGTCAACTGTTATAAATACATATTCTGTGTATCATACAAATGTATCAATTTCCAGCACGAGACTTCATTGATTTGATTACATATATTGCAGAGAAAATGGCTGTCAAGTGAAGAGAAATCTAAGGATTTTCACAAGTGAATTATTTTGCTAAACCAGTGAAACATTGACATTTTCTATCATGAATTTGTCACAATACAACTGGAAACCCACCACATTGCAATGAGCTTCCTTCGGACTGAAATGATCCTTGAACTGCAGATGACTTAACTCGCCGGGCTAGGGTAACCATTTACCCGAACCAGCCTTGACCAAAATTACTCTTTATTATAACTACATAGATCTTTTATATGAGTTATGAAAGGTGCTGTGCAGAAGGTGTATTCAATTTACAATGCCAGACTAGAGATAGCTGTGTCAATGGTGTCAGTCTGTGCCTGCATGGTTTTTCCTCTCAGGTACATGCTTGTTTGGGTGATTTCTTGAACCGGTGATCCTCCATTCCACGTTGTTGTATACACAGAACTCACATGTTTATCTCAGATTTTTGTGACGATGAATCAGTAAAGCTTCAGTATTACATTAGTTTTGAAGTACAGGTAATGACTAGGGTACCTGATATACACCATATATATCTGTTCATGGAGATGAGAGTATTCTGTTATGAGTAAACATATCATGCTGAAGTCCTCTTTGGTCTTACTTGATTCAGTGCCTGACGGTAGCTTTTAGTGGTGTTGCTCCTGATGTAGCAATTGAGAATCATTTAAGTTAGGCAAATTGACAAACAAATCTTCAGTTCTTTTGTTTTGATAAATAACATGTCTTACCTTTTTTTCATGAATGGTATCCCCTTAAACGAATGGTATCCCCTTGAACGAATGGTATCCCCTTGAACGAATGGTATCCCCTTAACTGCTATCAATAGGGTATCACCATACATGCCTGTTGAATGTCAAAAAATTAAACAAGATGTGGTCAACTGTAGATAAAATTCTGACCATAAGTAAAGCGATACACCTGTTCTGTGGAGGAAAATGAACAGACAAATCCTTAAAAATAATTAAATGATTTTATTGTACTACCTCACATTCTTTGACATTGATTTCAGAGGGGATGATTGGATTTAAGGCCTAAGGAAATATACCTTTATATCCACAATCACAAATTAAAAATTACATTCTTATAAGTTTGCCTATTGAATGATCTATTGTGATAGGATATCGACCATCATGATAAGATTACCAGGTCTTACACCGTATTTTGCTGGTGCATTCGATACGTAGGTTTTCGTTATATTTACTTTTGAACGTGCTAATTATTCTTCTGTACTAAAATAGTTTCAGTTGTAATCTGTTATAAACTTTATGATATTAACTTTATTTGTTTTACAACAATCATAAAACAAGTTTTATTTAATTATGTTGTTCACTCTTGATGGAAGCATGAATGGGGTATTAAAGATTTATTTGTTATCATATTACTATGAATTTAAAGATGTAATCAAATAATTAATATATGAAACATGTAGTATTTTTCTGATAATCAGATTCAAAGCTTTTTAAAACAAAGTTTTCCAAATTCCATTCTTTCATTATCGGTGAATAAATTTGTAACGAAAGATTAAAGTTTCTGATATGGAGAATGTTTAAAAAGATTTGATTCTGACAAAACCAGTGCCAAGATTTTTTAATTTTTTTTTAATTGAAAACTGCATATTTTTGGTGTAGGTTTTTTATCGAAAGAAATAAGAATTAATCTGATCAAGTTTAGACTTTTTATTTCGTTCCAACACCGATTGAAGTATCGATAGTAGAGCAAAATTAAAAGGAACTAAATAAGAATGATCATAATATTATAATAATTAGTACGATACCTGCCAAAAAATTATTGTTAAGAAGTGATTGGATTTTTTTAACAAATCTAGTCTACAAAACATCAAACGCTTCCATTTATATTAATTCACTGCGTATAATTGTGATGCATTTTGGTAATTTAAACTGTAGGTGTATTTCGAATGAAATGTAAAGAGAGCTCGAAGAGTGAATATAAGACCTATGAACTCATTCAGTTGTCCAGATCTCGAGTGTATACTTAACAAATATATAATATTTTAATCATGATTCATTTTGCTTACAAAGTATAATACAGTTATAAATTCACAATAACGAATATAAATGTGAAAGCGCCTCTCTCCGTTTCCTACACAAAACACGTATATTGAAACATCGTTTCAATCATATATACATCGAATTGTAAGGTCACTTAATTACAGACTAACAGTGATATATTTCAAGCACCAATTGCATATCAAATAAAAAAAAAATGTTTTGCATTTTCTGTAATATGAAAACTTGAACTCGTACTGTAATAATATTAATTTTTCGATTTTATTCTAAAACTCAGGGCATGCAAGAATTGATTTTGTGAAGTTCCAATAAAGAAATTTAATACAATGGTGTCATTTTGCTGTATTACAGTCATGATTTATAATGTTGTTGAATGCATGTAATTCATAAATGTGTTGGTTTATTTTGATCTGGCGATGTTTTGATGTTACTGCATGAATACATTTTGCATCTTTTATATTTCCGTTTGATTCATCTACATAATGAAATTGATTTTACATGATATCCAGTGCAATCATCTTCTGATATTTATTTTACCATTTTAATTGGTTCAAATTCATGTCAAATCTGTTATTTAGTGAATCATGTGATACTATTTATTGATTGATCACTTAGTTTGTATACATTGATCATTGTTTAGTTTTACAATTTCTCCACAGAATTGTAACACGAGGATTGTTTTAAATTTGTATTCCCTTTACTTATCTAGCATACATCGGGGACTGGCTCAACATGTCGAGTGAAAAAGGCGATGAAAATATTTCCAGTGTAATAGTGTTTATTCTTTTTAAAGTTTTATTTATGGGTCCAAATGCAGGAAAATCGCACAATTACAGAAGCGTTAACATTTTTTTAGTACACTTAAGGACAAAGAATGTTAGGATAATTTACTTTTGTTGACATTGTTTTTTTAGCTTTTTGGATGGTGCATGTAGTAAAAAATATTTTAGAATTTTGGATGGTGCATGAAGTAGAAAATATTTCACGCTGTTATATTTGCATACTGTACTTTACCTTCGACATGCCCTGGGCATTATAGTGATTGGAAATGTTAAGAATTTTGAATGTTATGCCTTCCAAAGTTATCAAAAAAAAAGTCATAGACCCTTTTCTCCCCCAAGTCAGTTGGTTATTTACAGTGACTCAGACCAGAAAAAAAGGGAAAGGGAGCGTTTATAATGTAAGGGACGGCTATCAATGGAAAGCGATATGTACGATTTGTAGTTTGTGTTAAGTTCCTGTTCAGCTTACAAGGGTCTGTATATGTGGTTCCTGGTGACAAGCCTCCGGGCAGGGACACATTATACACTAATTGTCAGCCTTAGGTATACAATGGTATCACTGGGACCTACAAAGGTAATACGGGGTGTAGTGCTTCAGGGCTTATATATACAAGTAATATCATAAAGTCCTGTAGTAATCTGTGTATTACGGAAACAGAACTTATCACTGTCCCATAATACAATGTACTATATGATTTGTTGCCTTGCCATGAAACGATGCCCAAACAGATTATAAGGAAACCAGTTTAACCTATCCCCAGTGCTGATTGGAATGTTTCCATATTATATGACTTTAAAATCATTTATAATTAGAAATAATAGTCCATTAATTGTTTTCCATATATCGTGATACATTAAATATAGATATGACTTATTTGGACTTATCTATAGAGAATAATGCTGTCAATATCTCGTCTTAAATGTGCAGAGTACATGTACATGTTGGAATAATAACCTAAGTCTCACGTTATAAATGACCATATTGTACACGTAAGTATATTTGTGTAACAACGTATATACCACTGATAAGTGTTGATGTTTATATTGTTTATTACGTAGTTTATTTTCGTTAATTAATGATAACATTAGGGACATGTAGAACAGACTTAGAGTGAATACCTTCTGATATATTTACCTTAATATCGTTCAAACAAACTACTGATACTGTAAATCAAATTAATATTAAATGTTAAACATGCTGTGAAATCACTAATTTTCGTGTTTTTTTAAAAACAATTCGTGGATATCATGGGTAATCTTCATACACAAATTCATGTCTCCACGAAGTAGTTACAAGTTTGATATACAGCAATTCTCCGTTTGGGTGGGTACTCGTAATCCACCAATCTGATTAAAATCATCTGTTACATGGCTCTTGTAACAGATGATTTAATCAGATTGGTAATCCACGAGATCATGTACTCACGAAGTGGTGTTTTCCGAGAAACCACGAACTTTGTGTCCCACGAAAATATCTGATTTCACAGTACTACTTTGAAAAGAGCCCGTGGCTACAATTCCTTTAGGCACAGTTTTACCTTTTTTTGCTGTCGGGGTTCCTTTCTCAGTCTTTAGAGTCTAATAGTTTTTTTGTTGACGATATCGGAAAGCTGGATAGTTTAGCTCTACCTTTACCGTGGGGATAAATAAAAACAGTCGCCGTTGTCATGAACAGTATGCAACTACCTAATTGCTAATATGATTTGAAATATTGATAATATTGTTAAATGATCTTACTTAAGATTTTGTTAGTGTCAGAGACCTTTTTAAATCGGTTACTGTGATCTTTTTTTTGAATATTTGACGTAGATGCTTGAACATTTCCATGATAAAACCTGGACAAGAAACACATTGATGATTTTGATGATAAAACCTGGACAAGAAACACATTGATGATTTTGCCTCCGTTTGTTTTTATTGTCAATTTATTATCTAAGTTTTATTTTTAAAGGGACGACAGAAAAGACATGCGTCTGATTCATTCATTAGCGTCTTCGAGAACTTTGATTTTGGAACATATCAAAATCCACTCGACGTCTTCGAGTCGTTTGAAACGAGATATACCTAAAACCACATCTTCTGTATGCACGTCGCATTCGATAGAAAATGTACGTAATATTGCACTCGTTTTAACTTTATTGCCTACGTGTCACGACAGCCTGGAACTGTTTGGATCATAATTTCTGATATCAGTAGGGCTGGTTTCACACGTTCACTGTTTATTAACAGACGGACGTTGGTTGAAAACAATTTGTCTTTCAGACGAGTATTGCAAAATGCGAGCTTGGTGTAATCATAACTTTTGACATCTGAAGCTGATCAAACAGTTTAAATGTAATGCTTCTGTTCTGTATATCATGCGAGAATAAAGGGTATTTTGTTTAGATAATATTTTCAGTGAGTATATTTACCATTTACTGATGAACGTATGTTTACATTTGCCGTATTCATATTTATTCCTGTTATGCGAATGTGCTATGCTTTTTGTTGTACACATACGTAAACATTAAGTGATTGTTTGATAGGTAAGCAATGTTGTACACTGGGCAAGTGTTATCACATTTCATTTGATTTCTTAACATGTATCAAAGTGAAGAAAATGATATTTCTGATTTTATAACTACTGGTAGTTGTTAAAAACATTCTAGCGTCTTATTCTCCGTATGTATCATACTATATTACTGCCACATACAATTTTCTAGTGTTATTGTCGGGAAGATAAAAAATATGCAATTATTGTATATCCTGGCTTTGTAGTACTTCATTTCATTTAACAAGTAGGAAAGCTAATGAAATGGGATAAACGCTGTCCCTTATTGTACACATTATGTACCTGTATAATCGTACGTGTATCACGTGATCCGTTGTGTTTTGTCTCCTATATATTATTATAGAAATGCAATAAATCTACATTGTTAGATCTGACCATGGTCTTGATTTGATTTATTTTGGATTTCTAACTTTAATGCCCTAGCGTCACTGATGAGTCATAGAAGGACGAAATAGCTGTATGATGGAGTGTAATTCATTTCTGAAATACCTGTGTGTATTACGATGTATTGAAATAATGGTGTGCTTTTGATTTTCTAATTACCGGAAACATAAGGACGATAAAGGTCACTCTTTGGTACATGTAATTGGGGAATGTTGTTGTTGTTGATACAATTTGAAAAATATAAATTAATATATAAATATAACATTCTATGATTTCCAGATAAACTGATATAAAAAAAATACTAGTTCGATTGGTCAAGCTAAATGGAATGTAAATGCTTTGAAATGTCACCCGATTTTTTCCCCCGAATGCTATAGCTACCTGACGCATCCAGTTATTATTTTATATCATTCTTATTTAAATTAAAAAAAAAATAGATATAAAAATATGATGAGTTTAATTATTTATTTATTCACCATTCACGTAGGGTCACTCTCGATGTCAAAGTGTCGCTATACATATATTGCATTTGTGTAACGTGATCGTTAAAGATAAATAAGTGTTCCTTACATATTTTTTTATATGCCGAAACAAAAGAAAAAGCATCATTCTGCAAACAAGAATTATTCAGTTCAAACATCAATAAAAGAATCTCGATTTAATAAAGAGAATGTGATTCCTGGCAGTAACAATGTTGCCGCATGAGGGGAAATTATTTTATGATTGCAAACTATTCAGTCGTAAAACATATTTTGCTCACACGATCATCTATGCTATTTGTAATTTGGGTAATATTTGTAATACATCACACGTTCATTGTTAGCACTAGTTGAGGTGTCTTTTGTAGTGTGAACTTTCGACAAATTTCAAAATGTTACAGACCTAAATCATATCCCCGAGAGAAAACAATCATAATAGTAAAGTTTGTCCCTCTCTATTAAGGTAACAAACATTGACGCGCAGTAAAGTATGACATCATTTACTAATGGACTATTTTTACAAAGTATAATGTACCAATGTCGATACTGTACCAGTGACATTTCCGTGTATACATTGTACGTTACAACACCACAGTGGTGACTTGTCTAATATATATGTTATACTAATATATATGTTATACTAATATATATGTAATTCGCTACCGTACTGCATCTGCAAACATATTCAGAGCTGAAATACATTCCTGTCCAGGGCCCGTGTTCATGAAACCGTTCTCATGCTCAAGCATGGGCCCTGTTTTCAAACCAACTTTCTTGTAACTCGCTTAAATCATGTCAAACGATCAAAGATTTGGCCTCAAGTCTCTTCAAAATGTTTTAAAATCATTGACAAACCAAGATCTATTTATTAAGTTGCAACAAGAATAAGAAATTAGGCTTGAGCATAAAATCCATGCTTGAGCATGAGAACGGTTTTATTAATACGGGCCCGGATATCAAACGAAAAAAATGTCATTAATGAAAATTATACAACAGGCCATTATTAATATTCGTATCTTGGTATTTTCAAAAATCGGGGTGTTCTCCGAGTGCCAACATCTTTAACAGCACACTTTTTAAGAAAAAAGACTACAATTCCTATCAAGACGAGTTGCCCCACAGTGAATAGAAAATCTTGGCATTTAGAGATACACCCAAATCTGACCGTAATGGTCACCTCGTTTTTGCATGATTGATCAAAATGAAATGAAATTTTCAACAAAAATTTTCTACGGCCCTTCATGGACGAAATTGGCAGACGAAATAGAAGAAAACACACAATTTCGCAAGGGACTTGGTTTGTAGTAGCCACTTATGATGACATACAGTATAATACGGCAGACCTTTTCTTTCCCCGAACATGCATCGCTTTCACTGCATCTTTTGGCTTTCAGCATAGACAAAATAGGTGATTGAGTTCTTCATATGTTTGGTGATTATTTTACGCAACAAGGTGGTTAAACTTGCATTTGGAATTTATTCTGGTACGGTTTTCATGAATTGCACAGACAACCTTTATGTTTTGACCAGTGATATATATACACTACTTCTATTACGATTACCAAGCTTTGATTCCTTAAACTGTTACATTTGTTTCTGAAGGAGCTAAAGAAGTA